GTGCGTGCGTGCGTGCGTGCGTGCGTGCGTGCGTGCGTGCGTGCGTGCGTGTGTGTGTGTGTGTGTGTGTGCGTGTGTGTGCGTGTGTGTGTGTGTGTGCGCGTGTGTGTGTATGTGTGTGCGTGTGCGCGCGTGTGTGTGTGTGTGTGTGTGCGTGCGTGGGTGAGTGTGTGTGTGTGAGTGTGTGTGTGTGTAGGTGTGTGTGTGTGCGTGCGTGCGTGTCTGTGTGTGCGCGTGTGCGCGCGTGTGTGTGTGTGTGGTGTGTGTGTGTGTGTGTCTGTGTGTGTGTGTGTCTGTGTGTGTGCGTGTCGGGCCCTTTCGCTCCCTGCGAAGCAATAGTTTAAGCCCCCCCGAAGCATCGGGCCCAAGATGCGGGCAGATCTGCGGCCAAGTCCCTGCGTTGTTGGCCTTCTACACGGAGACTGTGCCCAAATACGAGATCGGGAGTGACAGGTTCCATGGGCCCTCCCCCCTTGCGCCCGCCCCCCCGCCCAGGCGCTCGCCCGAGCGCGGTGGCGGAATCGCGCGGCGGCGCCGGTGGACCATGTATGTCATGGGGCGGCGCCGCCATGCGAGTTCCGCCAGTGGGACCCCAGGTGGAGCTCCCCATGGGGCCACGAAGCGTGTGAGGGGTGTGGCAAAATGGGGCGGCGCCGCCATGCGAGTTCCGCCATTGGGACCTTCGGTGGAGCTCCCTATGGGCCCACAAACGTGCGAGGGGGGGGGGCAAATGCGGCGGCGCCTCCTTGCGAGTTCCGCCACGGGGGCCTCAGGTGGAGCTCCCTATGGGGCCACGAAGCGTGTGAGGGGTGTGGCAAAATGGGGCGGCGCCGCCATGCGAGTTCCCTCATTCGGACCTTAGGTGGAGCTCCCTATGGGGCCACGAAGCTTGCGACGGGTGTGCTAAAATGGGGCGTCGCCGCCATGCGAGCGAGTTCCGCCAACGGGACCTTCGGTGGAGCTCCCCATGGGGTCACTAAGCGTGCGAGGGGTGTGGCAAAACGGGACGGCGCCGCCATGCGAGTTCCGCCATTGGGACCTTCGGTGGAGCTCCCTATGGGCCCACGAAACGTGTGAGGGGGGGGGACAAATGCGGCGGCGCCTCCATGCGAGTTCCGCCACGGGGACCTCAGGTGGAGCTCCCTAAGGGGCCACGAAGCGTGTGAGGGGTGTGGCAAAATGGGGCGGCGCCGCCATGCGAGTTCCGCAAGTGGGACCTTCGGTGGAGCTCCCTATGGGCCCACGAAACTTGCGACGTGTGTGCTAAAATGGGCGGCGCCGCCAAGCGAGTTCCGCCATTGGGACCTCAGGTGGAGCTCCCCATGGGGCCACGAAGCGTGTGGGACCTTCGGTGGAGCTTCTATGGACCACGAAACGTGTGAGAGGTGCGCCAAAATGAGGCGGCGCCGCCATGCGAGTTCCGCCAATGGGACCTTAGGTGGAGCTACCTGTGGGGCCACGAAACGTGCGAGGGGTGTTCCAAAACGGGGCGGCGCCGCCATGCGAGTTCCGCCACTGGGACCATCGGTGGAGCTCCCTATGGGGCCGCAAAACGAATGAGGGGTGTGCCGACATGGGTGGTGGGCACGATGATGATGATGATGATGATGATGATGATGATGATGATGATGATGCTGATGCTGATGATGCTGATGATGATGATGATGATGATGATGATGATGATGATGATGATGATGATGATGCTGATGCTGATGCTGATGATGATGATGATGATGATGATGATGATGATGATGGTGATGGTGATGGTGATGGTGATGGTGATGATGGTGATGATGATGATGATGATGATGATGATGATGATGATGGATGATGATGATGATGATGATGATGATGATGATGATGATGATGATGATGATGATGATGATGATGATGATGATGATGATGATGATGATGATGATGATGATGATGATGATGATGATGATGATGATGATGATGATGATGATGATGATGTGGATGATGAGGATGTTGCGGATGATGCCACTGATGGATGATGGGTGATGTTGATGATGTTGACGATGATGCTGATGGTGGGAGGAGGGAGGGGGGGCAGCGGGAGGAGAAGGAAGGAAGGAGGACGCGGGCGCTGTCTCTTCAAAACGAGGACCCAACACCACAGGTCACAAGATGGTTGGGAAGAAAGGGAATTCCAAGAATTCTTTTTTGTCATTGTAGACTCATACTCGGAGATCCCGCACATCTCCTGACATCTGGCCGGTACCGCGCCTCCCGGTTTCCCGGGGGGGCCCAACACGCCCAAGGACAGCCCAAGACGACACCAAGGAACCCACAGAACGTAAAGAACGGCCCAACACGCTCCCGCGCAGCCCGAGACACCCTTCCGACGGCTCTCCAGGCCTCCAGGAGGCCTCCAGATACCCCAGGGGGTCCGGAAGATCCCACACCCCTGAGGGGACCGGCTGACCAAACCCGCGAAGCACAAACAAAAAACAGCGCCGAACAGCGCTGACGAACTGAAAAAAATGCAAATCCGAGAATTTCTTTGTTTTTCTTCCAAGTTTGGCCCCCGGTCTACTCTTGCACAACAGACCACAATTCAGACCTCCTTCACCTCCCAAAAAAGAATCCAGGAAGCCTTTGAGGTCCCCAAATCGTTGAATACCTGAAGGACATGAATGATTTCTGCGTTTCCACACTTCCCCTTCTATACGATTCCGAGGCTTGCGCAGGGCCTCCAAGGGAGTCCCTGGACGCAAGAAGCAACCAACATGAGATTACATGAGTTAGCCTATCAAGCCTAGCTAGAACTTGAGCGCGCGCGAAGCGCGCGCAATGGTTCTAGTATATATAAAAAATACGTCACCCCGCATAGCAAGGATGGGCAATAGTTCCAAGGGTACCGTTGCATCCTTGCCCCTTCGGCCCATCCTTGGCCGACCTCGCTCGAAGACGTTGACATGGCCCTCAGAGGCCCTTGCGTCCTTACCGCGCATCCTTATGATACGGGCCGGCTGGAGGGGACAGGGGTGAGAGTACGGTCTTGACAAAACACCTTTTCCGCATTGAGGCGACAGCACGATTCCTAAGAAACTTGTGAGGGCGTCTCGGGCGAAAGGATGCCGGCACGGGTGTCTCGGGCTTCCCGTCTCCCTTGCGGGACTCTTCTCCGTAGTCCATGTTTACCATTCATTGTGACATCCCCCGAGCGAAACGCTGTCAGGGACAGCCGCGCAAGCATAAACTTTTCGGAGCGCCGCGGGGACCTCTTGTATCGGTGCTTTACCCCCTCCTCTTGCTGCGCGGAGCGCGCCAGGGACGGCGCCGGAGGCGCCGCCGGGGGAGCCCAAAGCCGACCCAAGAGATCTGCGCGGATCTTCGAAAGCTTATGCTGGCGCCGGCGGTGAACCGTCAACCTAGTCACCGCGGGAACCTCGTAGAGCTCCTCACACTTGTAAGAATGCTCAGAATCGAAATGGAATCAAAAAATAGCAATTTTTCGAAAATCTTCACTGTGTTGCTTTTCCTCCCCCCGTCCCAGAGGCCTGGGGCTCCTCGTGGAGGCCTGCTCGTGGCCGCAGGGGGGGGGGGACGGCGGCGCTGCCCCTCCGCGCGGGGGGGATGTGCCTCGCCCGGCGGGCCGCCCTCAGGACGCGATCCCGCCGTGCGGGGAGGGCCAGACGGTGTTCGAGTTCGTGCCCGACTGGACGGACAGGAACCGCGCGTGGAAGCTCTGGACGCCCGCGGAGACGCCGCCGGGGGGCCGCGCGCGGGCTGCGGCCTGGGGCGCGGGGTGCGGCGCAGGCGGGGCAGGGTGCGGGCGGCAGGGTGGGGGGAGGAGAGGGTCAGGAGGGGGAGGGAGGAGGAGGAGGAGGAGGAGGAGGTGGAGGAGGAGGAGGAGGTGGAGGAGGGGGAGGGGGAGGAGAGGGGGAGGGGGGGGAGGAGGAGGTGAATGATGGTGATGACGAGGATGAGGAGGTGGAGGAGGAGGAGGAGGAGGAGGAGGAGGATGAGGAGGAGGAGGAGGCGGCGAAGTGCGCGAAAATGGATCAGGGCGCGCGGATTAGCGACGGGTGCCGCTCCTGTGGGTCAGCGACGGTACGGCGGGTGGGTGCCAGGGCCAGGAAAGCACGAGGAGGAGGAGGAGGAGGCGTGCTGAACGCACCTGCTACGATTCTCATGCTTGCATAACGCAACAAGAGGAAGGTATGGAACGATGCAATCTGTCGATTGAAGCTCGCCGAAGAAGGCAACCACAAATAGGATGAGGAGGATCTTTTCGGGACTCAGATGTCCTCATCGGATTCTGCCCGTTCGCCTCCTCCTCCTCCTTCTCCGCCCTGATGTGTGTATATCATGTGCCCTTGGTGGGCTTCTATACCTGCTCTTTCCCTCATCGCCGTGCCTGCTCCAGCTGCACGCCTCTCGGCCTTCTGTGTACTGGCGCATCGCCTGCGTTGGCCGTATGTCTGTCCTCCGGCAGGGACGCAACAGCCATGCAGCTGGTGCTTGCTCAACGCAAAGAGGTAGACGAGGTGGATGAGCCGAGGAAGTGCAAACATGGATCAGGGCGCGTGGATTAGCGACGGGCCCCGTTTCCGTACAGAGCCGGCGCGCGTTGGCGCCACATCTGGGGGCATTGGCTTCCTGTTTCGGGTGTGCGTTCCCCGAACGTGGCGCAACGGCACGAGATCCACAGATCCGTAGTTCATGCTAGCATGCGCCCGAATGTGCGGATGCAACTCTTGGTCCAGCTCTGGATTTGCCCTGTTCCGCAATCCAGGTGAAATCGGTTCAGTTCCGCGCAATCCCGCTTAATCGAGCTGAATCCCGCTTGATCCCGCTTAATCCGCGGCCTTCTCCGGCGTAGCAGCCCGCCAATGGGGCTGAATTCTCCCTGATCCTTCCGACGAACATCTCCCAGCAGTTGCCTCCTAAGATTTGGATTGGGCCGGACACGCCGAGCGAGCATGGCCGTGGCAACCAGCGGCAGGCAGGCTGGGAAGCGCACCTCGCGCTCAGGATGCTGCACACACGAGCCGCGAGCAGCGATCAATCAGGTTTCCCCCTTGGCCAGGGGTGCGCATGCCAGTACGTTCGGACCGAGGACCGAGGTATAAGATCGAGGTCGGTTCGGCGAGGATACACAACTGTTTTGCGTGCGTGCTTGTTGGGTTTCTTGCGCATCGTGGGGGAGGGCACCCTCGGACGTTCTTCAGTTTGGACCGGCGGAGGGTCTTACATTCTTGAGAGATGTTCTTCTGTCCTGAGTCCAATTGTATGCGGACAGGGTCCTCCGCCCCCGAGGAGGAGGAGGAGGAGGAGGAGGAGGAGGAGGAGGAGGAGGAGGAAGGAGGAAGGAGGAAGGAGGAAGGAGGAAGGAGGAAGGAAGGAAGAGGAGGAGGAGGAGGGAGGAGGAGGAAGGAGGAGGAGGAGGGAAGGAGGGAGGAGGAGGAGGGAGGGAGGAGGAGGAGGGGAGGAGGGAGGAGGAGGAGGAGGAGGAGGAGAGGAGGAGAGGAGAGGAGGAGGAGGAGGAGGAGGAGGAGGAGGAGGAGGAGGAGGAGGAGGAGAGGGGGAGGATGGGGCCGAGGGGGAAGAGGCTGAGTAGGGGGAGGAGGCCGACAAGGCACAGGACGAGGAGGAGGAGGAGGAGGAGGAGGAGGAGGTGGATGACGAAGAACACGACTGGGAGGCTGCAGTGAGGCCCCCGCCCCACGGAAGATCGGCCCTGGCGAACTCTTTGGGCATCTCGCCCCCCCCCGCCCTTCGGGGGCAACTCCTGGGTGCCCCGGCTTAATCTTGCTCAATCCCGCTTAATTTGGTTCGATCCCGCGCTCAATCTGCGGCCGAATCTGGCGTAACAGCCGCTGTAGGCGTAAAAAAGCGCCCATCCGAAGATGTTGCGTCGACGGACCCCCCCAGCCCCACATTTCGAAGGAGACAACACGACGTAAACATACATGTTCGACGGTCCGCGCGGATTTCTGGGATCTGCGCTGGGGCGCCCTGGCGGCGACCGTCGACCGTCGAAAGTTTCTGTTTGTAAGTAGTGTTGTCTTTCTTCGCATTTCAGTGTTGCCTTCGCTGGTCATGTCGGAGTGCAATCGTCAGCAAAATAAGCGCCCCGAGTTCAAGCCCGCAGACACACCCGTTTGCGATATTGGAATCGGGGGGCGCGGGGGTCTCAACGCATCGGCACGGTCTTGTGCGTCTCGTGGGCGTTTTTAACACCAATGGCGGCGGCACTCAGGGCCTCCTGGGGCCGTCTTGGGGCCGTCTTGAAGGCCGTGTCGGGGAGCGAAAAATGGTAGGATCCATAAGTTTTCACAAAGGTCCGCGCGGATTTCTTGAATCGGCGCGGGGCCCCCTTGGCGGCGCCTCCGGCGGCGCCCCTGGCGCGGGAGGGGGATCCAGCGCCGTTCCGAGAAATCCGCGCAGACCCTCGAAAGTTTATAGTGATCCATGTTTTGCTCATCGATGTTGGGCCGTCTTCAGCCGACGGAGCCCCGAAACGACAAGGGCGTGAATCGTTGGAAAAGATCCCTCCTCTGGTGAAGCGCCGGTGGTCCTCCTCCGCGCAGGCGGCACCGCTGGCCGGAGGCGTCTTGGCGCGAGGGCACGCGCGCGGCGTCTGTGTGCTCGCGCAGGCTGCGTCTTGAGGCGCAGAAAACCATCATCATCGTCATCATCATCATCACCATCATCATCATCATCATCATCATCATCATCATCATTATCATCATCATCATCATCATCATCATCACCATCACCATCACCATCACCATCACCATCATCATAACCATCATCACCATCATCATCATCATCATCATCAGCATCAGCATCATTCTATGGTAGAGTCATGTCTGGTCGTCCTCATCCCATCGGGCAGTGCCAAGGTCCAGGCCTCCCAGAGAGGGGGTCGGGGTTAGACGGGGTCCGAGGCTCGCGGCCCGCATCGCCGATGCATCGCCGTCAAGGCATCGGCAGAGCAGCTCGATATGGACTTCGATTTCCTCCACGCCGACGCCGCCGATGCATGGGCGATGAATTTAGGAGAACGAAACATGGCATAAACATTAAAGACTCGGAGGTCCGCGCGGATTTCTTGGATCCGCGCTGGACCCCCCTCCTGGCAGCGCGCCAGGGGCGGCGCCGGAGGCGCCGCCAGGGGGCCCCAGCGCCGATCCGAGAGATCCGCGCGGACCTCCGAGTTTTCATGTTTATGCCATTGCTTGTTCCCCCAATGCATGGGCCATGGCTTGGGGATGCCGCGTGACCCTCCGACCCCGTCGACCCTGACACCCCTCCGTCCAGGAGGCCTTTGGACCTCCGAGTTTTCATGCTTATGTCATTATTTGTTCCCCTAATGCATGGGCCATGGCTTGGGGATGCCGCGCGACCCTCCGACCCCGTCGACCCTGACACCCCTCCGTCTGGGAGGCCCCATTGCCACAGGGGGGTCGCCGGTTCCTCCCGAGGATCTCGAGGGGCTCCAGGGTGGAAGTCCGAGCCGGGGGTTCTGCTGACGGGTCGCTCGGGTGCTGGCGGGCTCCTTCGGGAGCGGGGAACACACAGACACGATGGATCGACGACGCCAAGCAGAATATGGGAAAAGATGGGGAGCGCGGGGGAGACGAGCATTGAGAAGCTCGGTGGGAATATGGGGAATCCTGGGATTTGAGCGCATTCATCGGTGTCTCCTCGAGGAAGTGTCGACCCCCCCAGTTGTGACCTCCCTGGGCATCGCCTGGTCCCACCTCGTCCTCAGCCGCGCCCAGCTCCGTGTCTCCTGGCCCTCCCATCCTCTCCCCTCTTCAGGAGTGGAAGCCTCCCAAGAAGATACAGTTCTCTGCGCTGCTCATACCAACACTGGAGCCCCGCCCCGACCGCCTGGGGGGGAGGTCAGGGAGGAGAACGGCGCAGGCACAACATCAGTCTCTGGCGTGAGAGGTAAAGGCAAGATCGGTCGCCATCGTCACCGTTGAAGGGGTGTGTGGGTGTTTTTCGACGCTCGTATGTGTTCTCTGGCATGCATCTGACTGGCTGCCTTATTCGCCGCATATGTGTATATAATATAAGATACATGTAAATACGCATATATTTACACATTGATATTACACATATATATGTATGTGTACTATATATTTGTGTGGTTTGGCAGCGGTAGCGATACTTACCCAGATTCATGGAGCGTGCGCGTATGTGTGTGTGTGTGTGCCTGTGCTTCGCTTCTTGTGGCTTGTGGCTGTGTGAGGTGGACTAGCGCGAATCGCCGCGACCGGTTCGCCAGGAAGATGACAGCTTCCGAGCGATTGAGTGTTTGTGAGTGTTTGCGTTTGTTTGTGAGTGCTTGCGTTTGTTCGGTTGTTTGTTTGTGAGTGTTTGCGTTTGTGTGTTTGTTTGTTTGTTTGTTTGTTTGTGAGTGTTTGCGTTTTTTGTGCGAGGAAGATGACAGCTTCCGAGCTTGTGAGTGTTTGCGTTTGTTTGTGCGAGAGTGTGTTCGTGCGCGTATTTGTGTCTGCACATGTGTCGCGTGAGGCCCAGCCCGCGCGCGTTGGCTTGGGTTGGCCTGCGCAGCGCCGCCGCGCGCGCGGCCGCGGCGCCAGTGCGTATGCCCACATGTGCACATCAGCACTCCGCTTGCTGGCGTTCCCTTTCGGGCACGTTTCGCTAGCCAGTACGCAGTACTTCTCTTAGTTATCGGGGGCGGCAAAGAAAGGGGTGATGACTGGTGGGGGGGGATTTTTCCCCAGATCTCACGGCGCCTCTTCTTTTTTTATTACGTCCCTGGCCTCCCCGCTGGGCCGCGCACGTGCCGCCAGTCATGTGTTGCACCCCCCCCCCTCTTGGACACCCCCTTCGTGGCCGCTCCCGATTAGTAAGCGGCCCGCTACCGATCAAGGACGAAGTGCCTGTGTGTGGTGTTCGCCATGTGTGAGGGAATGGCGTTTCGACCGCCTCGGCACATCCTGTTTTATAGATGCGCGCTCGTTTACAACATTCACATATCATGGCCAGCGTGGGCCCCAAACTGTGTGCTTCTAGCAGCTTATGTTATTGTACCTACGTGGGCCAATATATGTGGTGCAATGTTTGCGGTGCAATGTGCAATCTGTACTATGCAATATGTGTCGGGCGCCCGGTATTGTGCAATCTAGGTTGTGCAAACTTCTTTGAGCAACCCAAGTAATACAACTAGCGTGGTGCAATATATGCGGTGAAATTCACCAACGTTCAACTTGAAGTTCTCCACTCCACTGCTCGCGCAAACATCCCACCCACCCGCCCGCAACTTGGTTTGCAAACCCCATGCGGAAGCGATTGCGATGAGTGCTGGGCGTTGGCTGGTGCATCTCTGCGGCCGCGCATGCTCGCGCGCAGCGGCCAGCTAGCTTGGCGCGAGCTGCGCGAACGCGGTGGTGCTCACCGCTCGGCACATCCCAGCGGATATTTCAGTGCGGGTCGGCGGCTTGGGCGGGCGCGGTATGATGGCAACGCCGACGACGATAGACGCGATGATGATAGTAGCGATGCTGACAGCGACGACGGAGCAGCCAGCGACGGCGCCGATGACGATCACAGCGGCGACGATGACGGCGTCTTCGCGTCGGTGATGCAGGTTTTGGAATGAATTCGAAATGCGCGCGGCAGACGCGCGAGAGTGGCTCGCATGGAATTCTTTGACACGGGTTGTGCCACGCCCGCTCGCGCGCAAGGGCCTTCGAACGATTTCGACATGAGCGCGGGAAGCCCGCCTGGTAGCATTGCATGAACACGTTGAAAACAAATCATGGCTTGCACTTAAGATTTCGCAAGATCGCGCGCGCACTGCGCCCCATTCGTTGCAATGGAATCTCGCGACGGCACGCGCGCGTGGAACGTTCGCGCGATTCCGACATGCGCGCGCGAAGCCCATGTGGCAGCATTGTTATGACCATGTTTTTTTGTCATACAAGCTTGTTGTGTTGCTTCAAAGGAAGGATTCGCAAGAGCGCGCGCGCTTTCTGTTTGATTTGAAAATCCACGTTGCGATTATATGTATATATGTATATATATGTACTGGGCAATCGATTTTGAAATCTTTCCGGAAGCGAAAGTTTGTGAAGGATTCCGGCATGCGCGCGCGACGACGCGCGCGTGTGTTGTTCGTTTGTGTCGTTGCAAGGGGTTCCTGAAAACTTCTGAGTTCTGATAAACGAATGCGCGCGCATCGTATTCTGCTGAAGAGGATGGCGGGGGGGTCGATGCCGGCTGGCTTGGGGTGGCATGAATTCACATGGGGATTGAATGAAGGGTCGCGAACATATTCGAATTTCACATCGAGGCGCGCGGCGGATAACCCCGGGGGGCGATGGGGGTCGAATCTAATTCCTTGTAAGAAGGGAGAATTTACAAAGTGCTTCACTCGAAGTTGCCCGCTCCATTGCTCGCGCAGACATCCCGCCCGCGCACCCGCAACTTGGTTTGCAAACCGCATGCGGAAGCGATTGCAATGAGTGCATGGCATTGGCTGGTGCATCTTTGCGGCCGCGCTAGCCCGCGCATGCTCTCTCGCGCAGTGGCCAGGTAGTTGCGCGCGAGCGACGCGAGCACGTTGGCGCTGACCGCTCGGTACATCCCAGCGGGCACTTTCAGTGCGAGTCGGGGGCTTGGGCGGGCGCGGCGTCTTGGCAACGTCGACGACGGTAGACGCGACGGTGGCAGTAGCGATGCTGTTGGCGATGCTGACGCCGACGACGGGGCAGCCAGTGACGGCGCCGATGCGGATCACGCCGACGACGATGACGGCGTCTTCGCGTCGGTGATGAAGGTTTTGGAAGGAATTCGACATGCGCGCGCGGCAGACGCGCGAGAGTGGCTCGCATGGAATTCTTCGACGCGGATCGCGCCACCCCAGCGCGCGCGCAAGGGAGTTCGAACGATTTCGACATGCGCGCGCGCGAAGCCCATCTGGTATAATTTTGTAAACATGTTGAACACCTCATGGTTTCCTTGGAAATTCGCAAGACCGCGCGCGCGTATTCGGTGAACATCCGCGTTGCGAAACCTTTTGGTTCCTGTGCGATTTTTTTGGCACCTGATTTTGAAATCTTTCCGGAACCGATTGTTTCCGAAGGATTTCGGCATGCGCGCGCGACAACGCGCGCGCGTGCACTGCGCCCCATCTGAGGCAGAGGATTTTCGCGACGGCACGCGCGCGAGGGCGTCAGAACGATTTCGACATGCGCGCGCGCGACGCGCGTGTAGTAGCATTTTCTGAACATGTTGCGAAACCGATGGTTTTCTTCCGGATTCGCAAGAGCGCGCGCACGCTTTTGTTGAACATCCGCGTTGCGCAATCATTGACTTGGTTTTAAAACATGTTTTGGGCGCTCGGTTTTGCGTCCGGACCCGGAGGTTATCTGAAGGATTTCGGCATGCGCGCGCGACGACGCGCGCGCGTGCTTTTCGGTTTTTGGGTGGCAATGGGTTTTTGAAAACGCATGATTTCTGATGAACGAGTGCGCGCGCACATTTTTTTTGCAGAGGATGGCGGGGGGGTCGACGCCGGCTGGCCTGGGGCGGCATGAACTCACAGGGAAAATGAACGAAGGGTCGCGGTCATATATGAATTTCCCATCGAAGCGCGTGACGGATCACCCCAGGGTGGGGGCAGGGGGTAGAATCTATTTTCTGAAAGACAGGAGCATTCACACATACTCAATTTGAAGTCGCCCACTCCACTGCGCGCGCAAACGCCCCGCCCACCCGCCCGCAACTTGGTTTACAAACCCCGCGCGGAAGCGATTGCGATGAGTGCTCGGCGTTGGCTGGCGCATCTCTGCGGCCGCGCTAACCCGCGCGTGCTCGCGCGCGCAGCGGCCAGTTAGTTCGGCGCGAGCGACGCGAATGCGGCGGCGCTGACCGCTCGGCACAGCCCAGCGGGCACATCAGTGCGAGTCGGGGGCTTGGGCGGGCGCGGTGTCTTGGCAACTGCGACAACGGTAGACGAGATGATGATAGTAGCGACGCCGGTGGCGATGTTGACACCGACGACGGGGCAGTCAGTGACGGCGCCGATGCGGATCACACCGACGACGGTGACGGTGTTTTCGCGTCGGTGATGGAGGTTTTGGAAGGAATTCGAAATGCGCGCGCGGCAGACGCGCGAGAGTGGCTCGCATGGTAGTATTTGACACGGATCGTGCCACGCCAGCGCGAGCGCAAGGGCGTTCGATCGATTTCGACACGCGCGCGCTTGAAGCCCGTCTGGTCGCATTCTATGAACATGTTGAACAACTCATGGTTTCCTTGAAAATTCGCAAGACCGCGCGCGCGGTTTCCGTGAACATCCGCGTTGCGAAACCTTTTGGTTCCTGTGTGATTTTTGGACACCTGATTTTGAAATCTTTCCGGAACCGATGGTTTCTGAAGGATTTCGCATGCGCTTGCGACGACGCGCGCGCGTGCACTGCGCCCCATTTGTGGCAAAGGGTTCTCGCGACGGCACGCGCGCAAGGGCGTCCGAACGATTTCGACATGCGCGCGCGAAGCCCGTTTGGTAACATTTTCTGAACATGTTGCGGAACCGATGGTTTTCTTGAGGATTCGCAAGAGCGCGCGCGCGCCGTTGAAAATCCGCGCTGCGAAATATTTTCTGTTTTATTGAGAAATATACAAACATGTGTTTGGGCACTCGGTGTTTGGAAATCTTTCCGAAACTGGCGGTTTTAAAAGGATTTCGGCATGCGCGCGCGACGACGCGCGCGTGCTTTTAGCTTTCTTTCTGTTCGCAGGGGGTTCTCGAATACGTGCGATTTCTGATACACGAGCGCGCGCGCGTAGTTTTTGTTGCAGAGCATTGCGGGGGGGGGGGGGGGGGGGGGGGCGATGCCGGCCGGCCTGGGATGGCGCGCGTTCATGAGGGAACATGAACGAAGGGCCACGGTTCAACGTGAATTCCCGATGGAATGGCGCAACCGATTACCTTGGGGGGGGCACGGGGGTGCAATCTAATTTCTTTCAAGAGAGAAGAATTGACTTTAATGAACGAGTTGACGCATCCCCCTCTTCCAAACATCCCGCCCACCCACCCGCAACTGGGTGTGCGAAAACCACGCGGTGGCGTTTGCGATGAATGCTTGACGTTGGCTGGTCCATCTGCGGCCGCGCTGGCCCGAGCGCGCGCGCAGCGGCAAGCTAGTTTGGCGCGACCGACGCGGCCTCGGTGGGCTGACCGCTGGGCTCATCCCAGCGGGCTCTTCAATGCGAGTCTGCGACTTGGGCGGGCGCGGTATCACGGCAATGTCGACAGCGGTAGACGCGATGATGATAGTAGTGATGTTGGTGGCGATGTTGGCCACGGCGATGGCGCGGCCAGCGCGGGCGCCGACGCGGATCGCGCCGACGACAATGACTGCGCCCTCACGTCAGTGATGAAGGTTCTGGAAATAGTTCGACGCGCGCGCGTGGCCGACGCGCGAGAGCGACCTGCGCGGAATTCTTCGACGCGGATCGCGCCCCCACTGCGCGCGCAGCGGCGCGCGAATGATGCCGGCATGCGGCGCCAGAGGCCCGTTTGGCAGGGTTCCATGTAAAGGTTTTGGGGGCTTCGGTTTTAGGAAATAGCAAGAGCGCGGGCGCAGTTTTCTTCTCCTGAAAACTGATGTTGCGAAACCATATGTGTGTTCGCATGTCTTCTGGGCATTCGGTTGCGAGGTCGCCGCGGAACCTAAGGTTTGTTTGGCGGATTCTGGCGGGCACGCGCGACGACGCGCGCGCCCGTTATTTGCAAGGGAATCTCGCGGCGGCACGCGCGCAAGGGCGCTCGGGAGATTTCGACGCGCGCGCGACGCCCGCTCCGGTTTTTTCAACAATTCGCAAGAGCGCGCGCGCAAGCGTTTTTTGAACATCAGCGTTGCGAGACCATATGTTAACGTTTGCCCGACGCTCGGCTCTGACATCTTTTTTGAACCGAAGGTTTATTCAAGGATTTGGGCACGCGTGCGCGACGCCGCACGACTGTGCACTTCGTCATATTTATTGCAAGGGGCTGTTGGAAACTTATGATGTTGGATGAACGGGTGCGCGCGCATATGTTTTTTTACAAAGGATGGCGGGGGGCGATACCAGCTGGGCTGGGATGGTACGCGATCATATTTAGGATAGACGCTGGGGCAAAATCGTATGCAAATTGCAATGCGAAATATGGAAGTGGATAGTCCCGAAGGGAGGGGACAGAGTCTTTCCTTTTGCAAGAAAAGAAAACCTATGGTGTGCAATCTGGAAACGCATGATCTTGAAAACGTTGGAATTGTCAGCTCCACATCTCGCGCAATCATCCCACCCACCCACCAGCAACTTGGCTTGCAAGACGCACGCGGCGGCGATTGCGATGAATCATTGGTGTTGGCTGGTGCATTTTTGCGGCCGCGCTAGCCCGCGCATACTCGCGCACACAGCGGCCAGCTAGTTTGGCGCGACCGACGCTGCCGCTGTGGCGATGACCGCTGGGTACTCCCCAGCGGGCACGTAAGTCCGAGTCGGTGACTTTGGGCGGGCGCAAAATCATGGCGGCGTCGAATAAACTAGATACGATGATCCGAATATTCATTATGACGACGATGATGACGATGACGACGGCAAGGCCAATGTCGGCGCCGGCGGTGGTCGCGCCTGTGACGGTGACGTTGTCCCCGCGTCGGCGCCGAAGGTTTTGGAATGAGTTCGGCATGCGCGCGCGGCCGACGGACGCGTGCGGCCCGCATGGTATCTTTTGACCGGGATCGCCCCCCCCCCAGCACGCGCGCAAGGGCTTTTGAATCATTTTGACTTGTGGCGCGAAAGGCCCGTTTGGTCGAATTCGACGATTGGAAAAAAAACCGTGGCTCCCGCAATAATTCGGAAGAGCGCGTGCAGATTTTTTCCAAACCAAAAGCTCATGTTACAAAGCCATATGTTGTTCATAAATTTACGGGACATTCGATTCCGACAGCTATGCGCCACCCAAGGTTTTGGAACAATACCTGCATGCGCGCGCGATGACGCGCGCGTGTGCGCTTCGTTTCATTCGTTACAAGGGGTTCTTGCGACACCACGCGCGCAAAAACGCTTGAATGATTTCGACGTGTGGGCGCGAGAGGCACGCTTCGTAGCATGTGTCAGGGGCTGTTTAAACACCGATGTTTCTTCAGGGTTCGCAAGAGCACGAGCGCAGACGTTTAGACAACTTTGAGATTTTTTAAGACCACAGGCCACTCTTAAACCAGTTTCAGGCCACCGTCGGCGCACACACACACACACATTCACAACACACACATACATACGCACAAACACACACAAACACACACACACATTCACACACACACACACACACACACACACACGCACACGCGCACACGCGCGCACGCGCACACGCGCGCACGCACGCATTCTTTGTTCTTTGGTAGGGCAGGAGCGCGACTCGCGGTGTACCGCGCGCACGCGCACGCACACATACGGACGCACATGGCCAGGCTACGCTGCACACCGCAAAGGGTACCATCGTGGCCCCGGTTGGCTCGCCACTGGCGGTCTTCATTTCCGGGCCTCCCACATGGGGTCCGAGCAGATGGGGCCAGAGGATAGCGCCGCATCGCCCACGGCATCGGTGATGCGGCGCGATGTCGAGGCCGAGTTTGTGAAGCCGATGGCGCCGATGCATCGCCGACGTCGTGGGTGCATCACCGACGTCGTGGGTGCATCGCCGACGCCGTGGGTGCCTCGCAGATGCATCGGCGATGCGGCGTGATCCTATTGGGAAGGCCTCTGCCGTCGCTTTCGGCCCACACGTTGCCCCGCGAAGCTCACCCAGGGCGTTCCGCTACTCGCAGAGTGCCTACGTCGCAGACGTCTGGAAGAAGACGTCCGGAGATCGTACGTCCCCCGCGGCGGATCCAGGCCGCTTGCGAGCAGCTACTTGGCGAGCAGCGGAGCGCGCTTGCCCAGAAGCGGAGCGGAAGCGGCTCCACGAGCGAGCGGGGAGGGCGAGCTCCCGAGGACTCCTGCCGCGCCCAGCACCTGATGGAGATCATCAGCGCCCACGGCCAGACCAAGACCGCCCCGCCCCCGCGCGTCGCGGGCCTCGGGCCTGGCAGCACTGCCGGGCCCAGGGAGGCCAGGGCTCTGCAGACCAGGGCGTTGCCAGGCCCGGCTGGAGAGAGCGAACACTGTCGGCCCGAGGTGTGGAAGATCGAGGTCGGTTCGGGGAGGGTACCCCAGTGCTCTTCGTGGTTGTTGGATCTTCTTGTGCATCCTGGGGGGAGCACCCTGGGATGTTCTGTGTGAATTTGGCCGACGAAGGGTCCCATGTTCTTGAAGGCTCTTCTCCTGACCCGGGTCCGCCTGTAACGGAGGTGGCTCCGGCCCACGGCCGCAGCGACCTCGGGCGGGCCAACGTCCCGGTCTTTAGCAGACAGTCTTCCTTTTGGGGGGGCCTGACGATGTCGCAGGCGCGGGGTTCCCCTCGTTCTCCGTCCCCTCCCCCCGCTCTTCCCCATCTGCGCTTTCCTTCAGGCCGCCCATCTCCCCCACGCCCTCTGGCTGCCCCGCCCCGCGATGCCTCCCGAGGAAGCCGTCCGGCTCTGCTCACCCCCCTGCCTCGTTGACCTTCTGCTCCCTCCACATTTTCTGACCCAACCTTCCTGAGGAAGCACGCGTGCAGCGTGCACCGTTCTTCTGTTTCTGCTAGTGGGTATTGGCTAGTCATCGCGAGCGTGCCAGTTTCGAAGAGGTGGAAGCACCGCTCGTGTGTTTGTGTTTGATTACGTGGTGCACCTGTGTCAAAAAGAGGGCTGGTGATGTAATACTTACGCGGATGTCGCAAACCAGGCACCCTCAAGGGACAGGCGAGGGAAGACGCAGAGGCTACAGCTTATCATTCCGGCGGGACATCACCTGCCCGATGTGTGGTTGTGTCGTGGCCGTTTTCTTCGTTTCTCAGCTCTGCAAGGACGCCGCCGTCGTTCAAGTCCACCATGCTTGTCGGAGCCCCGGGCACGGCCAAGACGTCCACGGCGCTCATGTACCTGGCCACCTTCTCGCAGGAGGAGATGCTCTCGAAGGTCCCCGGGACGGGCGGGCGCGGGCATGACCATCGCCGTCCACCCCCCCCACCCTACCGTCCCATCCCCCTAGTTCGCGTCGTTGCTTGATCCTCCTTCCTGCCCCGTGCATCCGCTCACAGAGCTGGACTGATGGGCTGAGGGAACCGCAACTGGCGCCCCCGACGACCCACCTCGACCCCCCAGCGGTGATGACTGCGCGCGGCGCTACAAGACTCGCCAAATATATAAATTTACGTTTTTTGTTTTCGGCGCTTGCGCGGTTGGCGCCGCCACTTCAAATGCTGGCGTGAGGCGCGTGGCCCACGCGCAGGGGCGTCCGAACTTCGGCAGTGCCCTCGCAGCATCGAGAAGCGCGTTTTCTGACAAGAGCCCGGACTATCGGGCGCTTCGCGTCTGAGCGGCGCTTCAATTTGTGATTGACGAGGCTTTTGGGAAGGCGCCCGGAGCGATTTCCAGAGCCCAGCGGATGAAATTGCTCCTTCTTCGCTCCCGAATGGCCTCCCCGCCCTGCCGTCGCTGCTGACGCTCGAAGGGGGCGCCCAGGACCGTCAGCGCTGGGCGGTCCGGGCGCCTGTGGATTTCGTGCCTCGGGGCCCCCGCGTTTCCCATCGGGACGATCGAAACGGGTACGGACATAATGTGCAAAATGTCCAACACCAGTTCTTGTTCATTCCGGGCAGGGTTCGCTGTTGGCGTCGCCGCGGTCGTTGTTTTTTCGAGACAGAAAGCCGCCTGCCCAACAGCTGCCGCTGCCGGTGCTGGACAACATGTGTTGTTGGGCATCGTGTCCATTGTCTTCGTACCCATCCCGGTCGTCCAAATCTCAGGCACACGGAGCGCGCGAGCTCTGGGTTTCAGGGCGGGCTGTCCTCGGGGCGACCGCGCTGTGCCTATGGCCTCCACTGCGCTGTGCTTGGCCTCCACGGCGCTGCCCATGGCCTCCACTGCGCAGTGACGCGGGGGGAGGGAAGAATCAGGAGCGAAAGAAGGACGTACACGTAGATGAATCCACGCTGGTTTCGAGAGTTCGCATTGCGCGAATGTTCGTATCACGCGGCCGGTCTCGCGAATCGAGGGGCCGTGTTCATGTACATAGCTGGGCGCGTACGTCCTTTGTGGGCTCCCTAAAGAAGGACGGCAGGGAGGGGGAGGAGGGCGAGGACCAGGACAGCAGGATCTGGGAGAGTAGACGCGGAGGACCCACTGTAGGGCCAGCCCGCGCGGCCCGCCGCGCGCCGCGCGCCGCGCCCGCAGCGCCTCAACCTCAGCAGCGCCACGACGCCCCTGGGCTTCCAGAGGAGCATCGAGGCCGAGGTGGAGCGCAAGACAGGCTCCCCAGGGGAGGCGTCGTCGAGCCCTCCCTCCTCGTGACTCCTCCTCTCACTCCTCCTCCTCCTCCTCCTCCTCTCCTCATCATCATCATCATCATCATCATCCTCATCCTCATCCTCATCCTCATCCGCATCCATCATCCTCTTCCTCATCCTCATCCTCATCCTGCTCCTCCTTCTCCCTTTCCTCCCTCCCTCCCTCCCTCCTTCCCTGTCCCTCCTCCTCCCTCCTCTGCCTCCTCCTTATCCTCCTCCTCCTCCTACTCCTCCTCCTCCTCCGCCTCCTCCTCCTCCTCCGCCGCCTCCTCCTCCTCCTCCCTCGCGGGGCTCGGTGCTGACCAGCTCTCACCGGTGGACCTGGAGCGCCTTCCAGATGCAGGACTGGAGGATCTATGTCAGTTGTTTCATATTGTGGAGCAGGGCATGTCGTGGCCTTGGCAATTACTTATCGTGATGGGTCGCCTCCCTGCCAAGAAAGGAGGTGGCGATTGTGTCATCGGTTTGATTTCCATGATATGTCGCGTGTGGAGCATGGCCCGCGAAGTGCAGATGCGTCAGTGGACCGTTGACACAGCCCCACATTGGGACGCAGCAGTGGCAGGCAACAGCGCATTGCGCGAGGCCTTTCTGCGATCACTCAACTCCGAGGTTTATTCACGGATGGGCGTGGCTCACGGCGAGGCGCTGCTGGATGTTGCCTCATTCTATGACAGCATAGAAGTTGAGGCACTGGCAGACGCTGCTGCACGTTTGAGCTTCCCCCCAGTTGTTTTTGTTCTTGGAGATGCAGATTTGTGCTGCTCCCAGGGTGGTCTCGCAGTTCCAGTCCTTTTTCGCAACCCTTCCAGCCCACGCGAAGTGTTGTGCAAGGGTTGCGAAGCGGCACCCGATTTGGTCGTTGTCTCGCTTACTTTGTGTTTGAGCGCCTGTGCACGGCACACCCCAGCATGTCAGAGAGGATCTGGATCGATGTCTTGCCCAGAGGGCTGTTGGATCCCGCAGGCATGTTCGAGATACTTTGGTCGCAGGCGTGGCCGGTACCGTTGCCGAGTTTGCCAAAGTTTCCCTTCGTATTGCGAGCAAGAGCGTCATCTCATGCTCGTCTCATGCCGATGCGAAGGTGATCGTAAACATATTGAGGAAGGAAGCGAATCCACCTCGAGGCAAAGCTGCAGGCAGCCTACCTCGGTGTCGACACGGGGGCGGGCAGGCGTGCGGCACGGGCCGCTGTGCGCAGGCGTGCCGTCAAGGCGCGAGCGCAGCAGCAGCAGCTTCCAGACGCTTCTGGGCCACAGCACGTGTCGAGCGGGCTGGACCACAGACCGTGGCGTCCCACGGGCATCGGATCCGCGGCATGTTCGGCAGTGCGATGGTGCAGCAGCGACGGCGACTGGCTGCGGCTTCCGGGTCAGTTCGGCGGGGGCGCTGCACTACTACCCTGATCGGTCTTCGCGCTCCGAAGGCGGATCCAGGGTTACTTCCCCCTCTCGTCAATGCCTGGCTCAATGGCTGCAGGTCTGGACCACCGAGCCCAAGATCCGCCCAGGTGTGTATCGCATCTGGCCGCAGGTGGTCCGGCATCTCAAGAGTAGTCCTGAGGTTCAGCGGTCCAGATTTATTCGAGGACCTGTCTCCACTGTGGGGGCGTACCTTCTGCAAGCAGGCTGGGACCCTCAGACTCCCTCCGAGTGGACGTTGCCAGATGATTGTGGGCAACATGCGTGGCGTTTCGATGGCGCTGCGCTGTGCTCGCTTGATCAGGCCGACGACCTACTGCGGGAGGTTGAAGGGTGTCTGGAGCTGCGGCAGTGGCGTATCGCTGCTGAGCTGCAGTGTGGCGCAGGACTCGGGCATGGTGCAGATCTGTTGAGTCTTCGGAGGTTATTCATGATTTACGGTTTGTTGAGAAGGAGCGGCAATTGTCTGAATTGGTGCTTACTATTGCAGTGGCAGGGGGTTGGACGAAGGTACGCAAGCATGCTGTTCAACTTTGTCTGTCTGCTGTATGCGATCGGTGCTCAGAGGCTCCCGATTGCCATTGGTCGCGCAAGCATAACACCGATAATCGTGGTTTTGGGAATCCGAGCAGTTCGTGGCGGAGGCCGTGACAGGCCAGGAGATACATGCATGTTTCTGGAGCCGCGGCATCATCCCCGCGCCGTGGACGCAGGTGACGGACCCAGCCGCGGAGGAGCTTTGGAGAGGAGGCAACCTGTGTGGCAACGGGGTTGGGCCAGGCTGCTTAGGGCATGGCACGCCCGAGGTTCCCCTCCACGCCTTTGGCGGCGCCCCAGGAGGAAACGACACACACGCTCAAGATTGCGACGAGTCGGATTGGCCGTTTGTGTGATCCATGAGTTCAATCCTTTCAGTGTGGGCCGTACTTGTTCGGACCAATTGTTGGTGGAGTCCAGACGGTTGCCAAAGGTGAGTTGGCCTCACTCGAGCTCGCCATACGGTGTACGACTGGCTCCATGATCGTTGTCACAGATTGCGAGAAGGTTTGCAGAGGCTGGTGGGCACGGCTGTACGACCAGCCGACGGGGCAGTTATTTGGGATCTGGCGCCAGATTTGGCGACATCTCCAGCATCGCCCTCCCGCCGATGTCGCCATCCTCCAGATCCCGTCCCACCTCGAGGCCGAAGAGGTGGTGCGTCGTCAGCATCCGAGCTGGATGGTGCAGGGGAACGAGGTGATCGGTAGGCTGGCCCAGCAGGCCGCTGACGATCATCGGCTGGCTACCCGAGGTCGAGCGGCACCGCGTGGCCGTCGTCGAGCAGAAGGCGCTGCAGGTACGGAGACGGCTGCTGCGTGCCGCGCTGTCCTGCATCCAGCTGGAGGGGGACCAGGCGGCGGAGGCGGCGCGGACGCGGCAGGAGGCGCGGCGTGCGCCCCAGGAGGCCGCGGCTCCTTTGCCCCCGCCTCCCTCTGCCCCTCCCCTCTGCCTCTTCTGTGGTGGCACGCTTCGCGACGGCCCACACCCTGGACGAGGAGGGCAGGTGCTGTCTTGTGCGTAGGGGGTCTGCTAGTAAGGCCTCTCGGATCGATTGGTATAATAGTGAGTGCGCCTTCTCGATGCTGTAGATGGTAGTGTGTCTCGGGTCCGTCGGGGGTGCCGTATACATATCGCTGGAGGTTGGGACCACCCTTCTCACGCCCGAATGTAGCATCATAGCCTTGGCATATGGTTCGGCAACGTCTGTGGCTACTTCGGCCAGGCCCAGCTCAGGGGTCTCAGTAGCCCTTGCAGTCTACCCATGTCCAGGGCGCGCCGCGACTATCTCGATCGGATTCGTCGTGGCTTCTTCCCCAAGGTCTCACTGAGCCTCGAGCAGGGTCTCGAGTAGAGAGCCCCCTGTATTCCTCCTCCTTCCCCTCCTCCTCTTCCTCCTACTCCTCCTCCCCCCTGCGTCTCTCCCTCCCTCGGGTCCAGGTTCGGGTTGGAGGGTTCGGGTGGGACGGCCGGCGGCGGGGTCATCGCGCTCTCGTCCCCGGATCTCCGACGACGCTATTTTGTCAATCGGCGTCTTTGCTCCTCGATCTCGGCCCTCGCAAGCTGGCTCTGGGCCCTGGACCACGAAACCTACACCTGGGGGCAGCCGGTCGGGATTTGGGGGCCTCAGACTGAACAACATCACGTCGGCGGATGTCGGCGCTGTTCGGCGGTGGATTTTCAGATGAGGAAGAAACATCGATTCCGCTACGCCTCCCCTGCTTTCGCCTTTGGGGGCCTCTGGGAGGCCCACGTCACCACCGCTGGATTCGCTTCGAAACTTTCATCAGACCGCACCCCGGCAGAGGTCCAGGGAGTAGCGGTATCGATACTTCTTTTGCTTTCCCAGATTTGTCAAGATGTTTCCCCGGGCCACGGCCGTCACGAGGGTCAAGAGCAGTCCTGGCTTTGGAGCGGTGTGCCTCCGGGTGCTTCGTGTTCGGACTTGCCACCGTGGCGTCTTCGCCAGTTGCTGGTCGGCGGCGAGCCAGGGGGTGAAGTGAGAAGGATACGGCCTTCTCAGAAGGCGGCGGGACTTCTCAGAAGGCCTCCGGCCTTCTGAGAGGTGTGTGATGTGTCTTCTGGGAAGGCGCATAAATCTTTTCAGAAGGTCAGAAGGCCAGGGAACTTCTCATGGCATCAACATCGCAGAGCGGATTTCGTTCGGGAAACATTGGGATGGGCCCGAGTTGTCCTGGATAAATTCGTTCCAGATTCCGATGCGAATGTCGTGTGATGTTTTGGGGCCAGGAGCAAAGACTACAAACAATCCGCGTGAAATTCACGTCGTTTTTCGCTCGCCGTTTCAGGCTTTTGCGTTAACAGAAATCCACGCAGCAAGTGTCCTCTGCAGCACGCCTGCAAGGTCGGTGCAGTGAAACTGCCGAGCCTTCTGAGAAAGCCCCGCCCCCTCAGACTAGGCCTCTTAGGTGGGGTCCGAGTAAAGAAGGTCGCAGGGTAGCCCCGCATCGCCGATGCATCGACGATGCGGCTCGATGTGGAGACCGTCTTTCCCCACGCCGACGTCGCCAATGTATCGCCGATACATGGGCGATGCATTGGCGATGCGTGGCGATCCTTCGACCACGTTCAATTGGCGATGCGTCGCGATCCTTCGACCCCATCTACTCGGACCCCACCTCCTCCTCCTCCTCCTCCTCCTCCTCCTCCTCCGCCTCCGCCTCCGCCTCCGCCTCCGCCTCCTCTTCCTGCTCCGCCGTCTCATCCACCTCCTCCTACCCCTGCTCCTCCCCTTCTCCTCCTCCCCAAGGGACTGCTCAATGGCGGTACGCTCGCAGACCTGGCAGTTTGGTCAGTGATCCTCCTCCTCCTCCTCGACCCCATGTACCCGGACCCCACCTCCTCCTCCTCCTCCTGCTCCTCCTCCTCCTGCTCCTCCTCGGCTCCGGCCTCCTCCTCCTCCTCTAAATCTCCTCCTCCTCCTCCTCCGCCTCCCTCCTCCTCCTCCTCTCCCTCCTCCTCCTCCTCCTCCCCTCCTCCTCCTCCTCCCGCAACCCCTCCTCCTCTTCCTCCTCCTCCTCCTCCCTCCTCCCCTCGACCCCATCTACTCGGACCCCACCTCCTCCTCTCCTGCTCCTCGTCCGCTCCTTCGCCTCCTCTCCTCCTCCTCCTCCTCCTCCTCCTCCTCCTCCTCTTTCTCCTCCCCTTCCTCCTCCTCCGCCTCCTCCTCCGCCTCCTCCTTCTCCTGGAGGCCTCTACTTTCCCTCGGGGCCCGCCGCCGAGTTGGGGGGTAGCTCTCTGCGGGGAGCCTTTGGACTTCGGCCGACGGGCTCGCGTCCCTGACCCACCAATGTGGCCACGTGTCGGCAATGCCCTGGAGCCCCCTGCGTTTGTCGGGGGGTGGGCCCCCTGGACGACGTCGGCGGAAGATGGGCTCGGGGGGGGGGGGGTGCATCGACCATTAATTTTAGGGGAACGAGCAATGACATAAACATAACAACTCTGAGGTGGTCTCTGGCGCCGCCCCTTGCGCGCTCCGCGCGCCAGGGAGGGGTGTCCAGCGCGGATCCGAGAAATCCGCGCGGACCTCCGATTTTTTTTTTTTTTATGTTTATGTCATTATTCGTTCCCATAAATTTCGATGCTCGCTTTGGAGACCTTCCTGGGGCGCACCTAATGGATCTGTTCGGCTCCGCTTCGACTCCAGTTCGACTCCAGTTCGACTCCAGTTCGACTCCAGTCCGACTCAAGTTTGACTCAAGTTCAACTCAAGTTCGACTCAGGTTCGACTCGGGTTTGACTCAGGCTCGACTCGAAAGGACGGACGTTCGACGCAGCTTCGACGCACGAGCGGAGCGATTGGCTCCAACAAGGTCCCAGACAGAGCATCTAACCCAGTGGCCCACTTATCGCTGCTATGGACCCGGTAGCCCGCCCCGGCCAGGACTTTTCGGATTCGTTATAGCGGGGGCCAGTCGCCGATCTATCGGCGATGCGTCGCCGATTCAGGCTCTGTTCCCCCCCCCCCCCCCCATTGAGCTGGTCCCCCCGAGCGTTTCCCCTCCTCGAGGATCTCCTCGCGTCTGGCGAGGGCCTTGCGCCGACCGACGGGCCCGGCCGCTCCGTCCGCCGCGAGCTCAGGCTTCGAGGCGGCGCCGGGCCCACGATAGGGGGTTGGTGGCGTCGCCCCCAGGAAGAGGAGGAGTAGGAGGAGGATGAGGAGGAGTAGGAGGAGGAGGAGGAGGGGATGATGATGATGATGATGATGATGATGATGATGATGATGATGATGATGATGATGATGATGATGATGATGATGATGATGATGATGATGATGATGATGATGATGCTTTCGATGATCATGATGATGCTGATGAACGACGCGCCGCTTTTGCCCCCTGGCGGCGCGCGCGGGCCGCCGTGGTGCCCGCGGGGGCGTCCGGACGAGGGGAGCCACTGGCGGAGCAGAAGAGCCCTGCGGCCCGGGCCGAGGGGCCCCGGGGGGCCACGCCCGCCCGCATCAAGAGCAAGAGAAGTCCGAACCCTGATGCAGAACAAGAAAAGCCGCCATAATTACTGAGGGGGAGGGTGGGGTTCACTTCGCTCGGGAGCTCCCGAGCGAAGGGAACCCCACCCTGCCCCTCAGAAACCGTGGGGGGTAGGGGTAGGGTTCGCATGTGGCCCCCTACTGGTGCAGCACAAGAAAAGCCGCCATAAACATCAGCTGGTGGCGCTCCGCGCGGATGTCTTGGCTCCGTGCTGGGACCCCCCTCCCGGGCCGGCGCAGATCCCCGAAGTCCTCGCGGAGCGCCAACAGTTTAGGTGAATGGCGCTCTTCTTTTTTTGAAGCAGCACAATGATGACGTGGCCTCACTGAGTTCCCCGCCTTCGCATCAGGGATAATACATCTGGGCGGCGCGGCTCGATACATCTGGAACAAAGACCCCCTATCCCTAATGTGCCTGGCCCTCCCAACTTAGGTTCCCTCCCACAGAGTTACTTATGTTGTTTATCGCACCCCATCCCTCCCAGCATTATTGCTTCCCACTGCGGCGAACTCGTTGCCGCCCGCTGGCCGAGGTGCCCCAGAGGAACCCTGTCGACCGCCATTTGTGTCCAACCCCCCTCTTGGGTGCATGACCTTGGCGCCCCTCTTGCTTTATGTCGGGCGTGTCCCCCTACAGGGGGATTTTCGACGAAAAATAAAGATACCCCTAGCAATACCCCAAAGAGGTCCAAACATAATCCAAAAATAGTCCCCATACTATCTTTGGATTATTTGTTTGTTTATTTGTGCGGTATTTCTTCATTTGTCTTAGAAAATTCCCCTGTAGGGGGACAGGCCCGACTTAACTCTTGCTGCATGAGCTTGCCTATGTCAGAGGTGGTCCGACGATGTGTGCGCCCATCGTCGCATCTTCTGGTTTCGCCCTTGTTTTGTTTTTGGTGGAGCCCCGCAGCCGCCAACGAGCGGTCGGGAGGCCTGGCTGCTGGGCTTGTGCATGTCGACCACACCTAAGAGCGACCCTTCGCGGGAGCGGCCGTTGTGATGCGGGCTCATTGCCCCCCCCGATCGTGGAGCGCGATGCGATCTCAGCGGCCTGCTCGCTCGTCTCTGGCTCCCTCGCGCCCCCCCTGCGGCCGCGCACCAAAGTATGGGGGATGAAAGAACCCCTAACCCTAATGACACGATGAAGACGTAGCCTCACTGAGGTCTCCGTCTTTGCATCAGGGATAATACATCAGGGTGGTTTGGTTGGAAGCGTTTGCAGAAAGACCCGCCATCCCTAATGTTTCTGGCTCTCCTAACCTGGGTCCCCTCCCAATGGATTAGGGGTCCCTTTGTTGATAATCACGAATGGTCACTCTTGCCCAGGGTCACTCTTGCGTGTAGCCGACCTTGGCTCGAGACCCATAGTCGCGGGCAGCGGCCCTCAAGCGTTTGGGAGTCGGTCCATATATAATGCCCGCGCGGCTTCCTCGTGCATGTCTAGGACCATCTTTATGATGTGGTTGCGCTCTTCGACGGCAAATGAGAAACTTATCTTTATTCGGTAGCCTCTACATCGTTAAGAAAGAAGTTCTCCCCCCCACACACACACACACACACACACACACACACACACACACACACACACACACATACACACAAACAAGCTATCGCGTGGTGCGCACAATCGTAGATCAGAAGAGCCAGAAGTCATGTCTCTGATACGTTCGAAGATGTCCAGGGTTCCCAGGATTCCCCGAATCTCCTGGTGTTCCACACGGGCTGCAGAAGCGAGGGCCGCTGGATCATTACTAGCGCTCCTGGTACGTATCTGGGTCTTGTGCATGAGGAGGAGGAGGAGGAGGAGGAGGAGGAGGAGGAGGAGGAGGAGGGAATGCGGGGGGGGAAAGGCCTCACGGCGTCGCAGGTGGGGGGGGGGGGGGGGGGGGGCGATCGTAGGGAAGGCGGCAGCAGCGGGCCATGGCGGGTGAGGGGTGCAGCCGGCGGGCCGGCGCGCCCGGAGGCAAGACGTTCTGCCCCCCGGGCGGCAAGAAGATGTGCTTCTTCATCGACGACGCCTCCATGCCCGTCGTCAACACGTGGGGGGACCAGGCCGTGCCGCACCGGGGGCAGCGGGGGGGGGGGAAGGTTTTGGTGGTCCCCGAACGTGGTGGTGAGAACACCCGGTGGTGAGTTTTGGGCGATTTGGGCAATGGCTTTCGAGCGCTGGCTGGCCCAGGAAACGCAAAACCTCGTGGCGACCGCGTGTCCCCAAACCCGGTGGTGACCCAGAATTATTTTTGGGGGGGAATCGGGATCACCACCGGGTGTCTCACCACCTGGTTTGGACACCACCAAAGGTTGGAAGTGGTGGGTCAGGGGAGGCTCAAGGCCCGAGCAGGGGATCGGCTGCAGAACTGGCTTGCCCCAAACTTGATTTCCTCGCCGCATGCACAGAAAGGGTCGTGGTATTGCTGATGGGTTCGACGGCAAAACAAGTTTGCGAGTTTGCGATTTTCGAGCTGGATGGTTCCTCCCCTGATCTGGCCCTCCCCCCCTGACGTTCCCCGCCGATGTCACACGGGGCGGGGCCGTGCGCCCTCGAGCTCGGAGGGTGGAGAAGCGGCACTAGCACACCACCAGGAGGCCCACCTCCAGCGAGGAGGTCCACGATGCCTCCTTGCGCTGGAGACTGGGGTTATGTTGCTCCCATCGTACTTAAGGACCTCATCCCAAAAATAATTTCCAGCTCCCAGAAGAGTGTCGAAAGAGTGTCGAAAGAGTGTCGAAACAGTGTGTCCCAGGGCCCGACACGTGAAAACCCTCGAGGTTTGGGGTGCGCCTGAAATTCTTTCTGGCGATCAAAGCTAAAGTTGGTGGGAACATCGTAAGACTGGGGATGTCTCGAGCGAGCGGGGCGGACCACACCACCAGGGAGACGCCCCTTGCCTCCCCGCATCTCCTCGCCCCGGTGTCGCCTGTCCTTGTGCTCCTGCGAGCGATGCCGGACCAGCGCCCTTGCTCGGCAGAGTGTGCGAAAGGGTGTCCTGGGAGCGGGCCCAGTCGAGGCGCTAGCTGGGGCATGCGCCCGCCCCTGCGCCGTCGCGCGCTGGCTTCCCGCGGCCCCCCGACCCCTCGAGCCGTCGACTCCACCTGTTCTGCCTCCCCAGGGTGGCATCGGACACCCGCCCCCTGCTCCACCATGCACCGAGGAAGAAGGAGAAGAAGAAGAAGAAGAAGAAGAAGGAACAGAAGAAGAAAAGCGGCACGGCCTCAAACGTTCGGAATTCCGCGCGGGTCTCTCGGATCGGCGCTGCCCCCCCCCCTGGCGGCGCCTCCCGCGCCGATCCAAGAGACCCGCGCGGAGCTCCAGCAGCTTCTGCTTACGCAGGCTGTTCGACGTCGACGAAGAGAGGCCAGTCCTCGGGCCTCGGGGCCGGGCCTGGCCCGGGGGGCGGCGTCCAGGCGAGCACAGCTGCTGCCCCCCCGCGAGGCACGCCGGCCCTGAAGCCCAGATCGCGGTCGGCAGTTGAGAAGCCGCAGGTGGCATCCCCTGGCCCAGAGCGCGGTCGGTCCAAGAATCCGCGTGGATTGCAGAGGTCTAGGCTTGTGCTCATGTTTGTTGCTCCGTCGTGTTCTCGAAGGGGTAGCACTGGACGCCCGTTCCCCCACCCTCCACCACGTATGGCTCTGGTCCCCGGCTCTCGCGCAGTTTCTGACGTCAGACTCTGAGGCTCTGGACATTCTCTTGAGACCACCAGCGATTGACATTCGCGATGTGTGTCCTTTTGCCTCCAGGCTGTAGGATTCTGCTGGGAGGGGGGGGCGGGTCGGCCTGATGCCGCCAGCCGCTGCCTGCTGTTGACGGCCAGGTGACGAACGAGCTGACACGGCAGCTCATGGAGCAGTCTGGCTTCTACTTCCTGGACAAGGAGATGCCTCCACGCTTCCACGGGAGGCAGTGGACCCCTCCGTCCCGACCGCGCCGCCCTCTCCTCTCACTCCTGCCCCTCCTTCCCCTCAAACCTCCTGTTCCTCCTCCTCTTGCTTCTCCTCCTCCTCCTCCTCCTCCTCCTCCTCCTCCTCCTCCTCCTCCTCCTCCTCCTCCTCCTCCTCCTCCTCTCCTCCAGTTATGTACGCCTGCTGCGAGTCCCCTCACAGTGCAATGCACACGTGTGCGGGGAGCCCCGCCGGCAGAGCTCGGCAGAGCCATCTCGGGGGCGGTCGGGGAGGCAGCGCCACGACAGCGTGGCGGGCGGGGGCGCAGGGCTCACGTCGATCTCTCTCCGATTCGCTTCCGCTTCGATTTCGATGGCTTCCGGTTCCGATCCGATTCGACTGCGGATTCCGCTGTGGGCTCCTGTATCTCGATGGAGGCTTACTAGCCTGCCGATGTCCGCCGATTCAATGTTTCCTGACTCGGCTGCCGAGTCCCGCCGACCCGAGTCATTTCGATCGCCTTTCCGGCTTATCGATTCGATTCTGGGCTCTCTTGGGGGATGCACGATGCAGGGTGATCGCGCTGGCTCATGGTGCGAGCGTCTTGCTGGAGGCTTCTCGAGGGCCTCTCGCTGGGGCACTTTGAGAGGGCCTGCTCTCGTGGCCTGTCGGGGGGGGGCGCCCTTTCTCCGCTTCTCTCGCGTCATCGACTACAACGTTGCTTTGACCCAAAATGGATTGCTTCGCCGCCTCTCCAAAAAAACACGTAGCAGTTCTCATGGATTCGACAAACAAAAACATCAGCAGGTCAAGACATTAATAATTTACATCAGCAGGTCAATGCATTAATACTTGATTGACCTGCAGGTGCTTTTTGTCGCGCAGGGATGTGTGTATTTGAGGTCGCGCTCCCATAGGATTTATGACTGAAAACTCAGGAGGCAATCGGGCCGTCTAGAGGGAGCATTAGATCGGGGCCGCTCAATCAATTATGTAGTTGATCCCCTTCTGGAGAGAAGGAGGTCAAAACGTGGCCCTCAGACCTCCCGACTCCTCCCTGCGGGCCGGCGGATCCTCCGGGATCGTTTCTTCTTGCCCAGGGGCCCAGATGTTATGTGGCGGGACTTCGAGAACGCGCTGGCATCGACAAAAACACACGACGTCGGAGGTCAGCGCGCGATTTTTGGTCGGTGACGTTGTCCTTGAGCGATTCGCTAGGCCTCCTGCTGTGCTGCAGGCCCCTGCAGCCGAGAAGCTGTGTCTCGGCAGCCCGAGCAGGCGGAGCAGGCGGAGCAGGCGGAGGACCATGACCAGGAGGAGCAGGACGAGGAGTCGGCCCGGATTGGTAGGTCGACCATGCCAAATCGTGGTCACTCTCTTCGGAAGGGTTTCGTGTCCTCTCGGGTGTCCTGTCCACTCAAGTCCGACTGTAGAGGACGAGGAGGAGGAGGAGGAGGAGGTCAGAGGATGTAATATCACAGTTCTGTGGCGTTTCTGTTGCTACTCTGGGCCGCTGGAGCCATCCTGTGACCTATGGTGACCTTCGGAGGACTCCGTAGACTTCTTGAAACAGCAGATGATGAGGGGAGGGAGGGGGGAGATACAGTCGGCCCTGATTGGTAATGTGTAGGTTGAACATGCCAAATCGAGGGTTACCCTCGTTGTGCCCTGTCTTCCCCGCCTTATGCAACCCGCATGTTCTTCGGTGTTCTGGGGCCACGTTGCCGTCGGAAGAGTCTTGTGTCCTCTTGGGTGTCCTGTCAAATCAAGTCCGACTGATTGTAGACCAGGGAGGCGTGGAAGGATGGGTTGGATGTGCGCTGGAGGAGGAGGAGGAGGAGAAGTTTCTGGGAGGCTACGTCTGAGGAGGAGGAGTTTCTGGATGAGGGCTAGTCGGTTGCTGCATGGAGGCAGTGGAGGGGGAGGAGGAAGTGGAGGAGGAGAAGGAGGAGGAGGAGGAGGGGGAGGAGGAGGAGGAGGACTAGGAGGAGAAGGAGGACTAGGAGGAGGAGAGGAGGAGGAGGAGGAGGAGGAGGAGGAGGAGGAGGAACGCCATGGTCTACGCGCGCCCCTCCCGCGCCTCCCACCCGGCCGTGCGCCGACGGGGAGAGGGCGCGGGGGCGCGGGGCGAGCGAGGGCCGCAGCCCCCCGCGGGAGCCAAGGCTGGCCACAGCTCGAGGAGCTCGAAGCAGGAGCGCCGGAGGCGGAGGCAGAGAGGGCGAGCGAGAGGCGAGGAGGAGGAGGAGGAGGAGGAGGAGGAGGAGGAGGAGGAGGAGGAGGAGGAGGAGGGGGAGGAGGCGGAGGAGGAGGAGGAGGAGGAGGAGGAGGAGGAGGAGGAGAGGAGGAGTCGAGGAGCTCGAGGTGATCGTTCTCTTATGCCTTGTCTTGCCGATCGGCGCGGGCCCTCGCAGCCCCTCCCCCCCCCCTCCCCCTGGAGTGATCGGCGCGGGCCCTCGCACCCCCTCCCCCCCCACCCTGGAGCGGATCTGTGCTGCTTTCGGCGCCTGTTTCACGCAGGTGGGGCCTCGCCCATCGGACGCACTGGTGCAAACACTCGCAGTAAGCAGAGGTCTGGAGCCAGACCCCCCCCCCTGCCCCCTCCTTCCGCCCAATGTCGGAACGCCGAATGACGCTCACAAGGCGCGAGGGCTTCTGCGAAGCCCCTTTGCCTTTGAGAAGGCCTTCGCCTTCTCGCTTCCCCCCGTCACTCGCCGCCGAATGAATACTGGTGGGCGGAGGCTCGAGGAGAAGGAGGAGGTTTGAAGAAGGTGGAGGAGGAGGAGGAGGAGGAGGAGGAGGAGGAGGAGGAGCTGCGGCCCCAGCCTGGGCGAGGACAAGCGCGGAGACTTCAAGACCATCGAGGGCCTGCAGTACGTCGGCGCCATGGGGCACCCAGGCCGCCGGTGCCCCCGCTGCCCCCGCTGGCACGCTCCGTTCTAGGGTGGCCCGCTCTGCGTCGGGGACCAAACCTCGTCATAAACAGGAACATTCGGAGGTCCGCGCGGACCTCCGAAAGCTTATGTTTGCGCCAACGAGGCTCGTTCGTCTACGATGCCGTCGGGGAGCAAACCTTGTCATAAACAGGAACTTTTGGAGGTCCGCGCGGACCTCCGAAAGCTAATGTTTCTGCCAACAGGGCGCGTTCCTCTACGATGCCCTTCCTCTCCGCCTCCGCGGCCGTCCTACAGGCGGGGCCCTGAAGAAGGAACCCTTTTCGTTGGGGAGGGGCTCCGTGTTCCTTAATTGTTTCGCAGCTTGCCCTGGATTTTCCTTAGGTTTTCGATACGAAATCGAAGTTCAACTTATGGAAAATAGGGGCCTCGTTCCTTATTTAGGGTTCCTTAGGTCAACGCCCCGACTGTACGCCTCTCCACCCGCTCCGGCGTGCGCAGAGAAGGGGGCGCGGCCCGTCGGATCTGCGGTCGCGCGCGCGTCCGCCGGCGCTGCGGGCAAGACCAGCTTTCCCCTGCTGCGGGCCACTCGGGGGCCCCTGGGCAGCCTGGGGTCGGGGAAGCGTAAGTCAGAGCGTGAATTGCCTACCCCGCTTTCGCTTCCAGGAAGAAAGAACCAGGTCAGACCACGCGCCTCCTCGTCAAGCGGCCTGACCAGGACAGGCCGTTGTTTGTCATCGCTTGGTATCTCTTGGAAGCGAGGGTGGTCAAAAGCGAGGTAGGCTTGTTTTCCCCTTAGCAAGACTCGAGTAAGCCGGAACTCGGGTTTGCCGACGTTTCTTGACGAGGGCGTCCTAGATTTTGACGGTCCAGTTTTCGTGGGATGTTTGCAGCGGGAGTTCGCTTCAAATTCAGATTTGGTCTTGTCTTTTTCCCCACATCCTGAGTGGGGTTCTTGTTTTCCCAGAAAATCCTCTCCTTCTCCCTCCCGCCTCCCGCCTCCCAAATCACCTCTCCAGGGAGGCCCCGCCTGAGCGAGGAGGGTATTGGAAACCCATGCTATTTACATGGTTTCGTGCCCCTCCCACCCCTCCAGGGAGGCCCCGCCTGAGCGAGGAGGGTATCGGAAACACATGCTATTTACATGGTTTCGTGCCCCTCCCACCCCTCCAGGGAGGCCCCGCCTGAGCGAGGAGGGTATGGGAAACGCATGCTATTTACATGGTTTCGTGCCCCTCCCACCCCTCCAGGGAGGCCCCGTCTGAGCGAGGAGGGTATCGGAAACCCATACTATTTACATTGTTTCGTGCCCCTCCCACGAAATCATTTCGTGTCCCCCCTCCACTACTCCAGAGAGGCCGCGCTTGAACGAGGAGGGTCGCGGAAAGCATTGCTCTTGACCAGGTTTCGTAGCCCTCCCCCCTTCCAGCGGGGCCCCGCCAGAGCTAGGAGTGTATCAAGAAACCGTACTATTTACCAGGCTTCGTTTCCTGAGCACTTGTCCTCCCTCCTCCTTTCTTTCGTCTGCCCTTTCGTGCGTACTTACTCGTTCGATGAGCTTCTCCTTCGTGTTGATGTTGTCGTACCCCATGGGTCCCACGAAACCGTTCATATCTTAAAGTGGGGAACTCCGTTAGCATAATTTTATGACGGCCCCGTCAGGCGAACCCGAGTCCCCCGCACCCGAGTATTATGTCTCCCCGATGGGAGCCTGTCCGGGGCAGCCCCCGTGCTGCACCACCACTGGGGCATCTCGGGGCGCCGCTGGGCCACCCCGGGGGATCTCTAGCGGCACTGTTGTTCCTGAGGGGCCGCCTTTGGCAACGTGCGGGCGCGCTGGAGGACCGTGCGGGCAGTCTTGGGCACGGCGCACGGCATGGCAGAGGAACCAGCTATGCACGACGGCGACGTACCAATATTGGAGACCCTTCTCTGGTGCAGCGCGTTCGGCAACACGCACCTCAACACCGAGCCTGCCAAGGATCCTGAGGAGACGCTGTCGCGTACTCCGATGGCAAAGAAGAAGGGGGAGCTCATGACAAAGGACATCAAGTGCGCCCTGAATTACAACGCAACCGACGAGGTAAACGAGATGCTATGGGCCACGCGTGTGCGAGACACCACGCGCGAATTTGAGCTGGCGGGGGGCATCACCAGTCTGGCGGACCCGTTCACGTGTTGCCCGCTCTGGTGTTGGATCTGCTGGACTAGCCATTCCAGCACCCTGCCGGCCTTTCACCCAGAGCGTTCTGATCTGAAGCTTAGGCACTAGTAAGCCAAGCGTCAGCTTCTTTTCCTCGCATAGTAAGCACACAGCCAACAGTTGTAGACGACGACGTCGCCTCGCAACAGGTACTCCCCACCCGTTTCCCTCTCATTGACTCTCCCCGAATGCGCCCGCGCGCCAGACGAATTTTCGTATTCTGCTCCCTCTTACGAGGCACGCCGCCTGTGCGATTCGGAGCGGCCATCGCCCATTCGACGTCAACCTCTAGATGTCAGCAGCTCCGTGCCGGGTATTCCCTCATCCTCACTCGATTCTTTCTCTCGAGATCTGCGGGCTCAGGGCATTTTGCTATGAGCAGTGGCGATCAACGAATTCGCCTACCCATCCTACAACAGCTTGGGGTCTGGACCCTGGTCGTTCGGTTGGTCACTCCCTGCAGCTCGCTCTGCAGGGTCTCAGTTCGAGCGCTCGCCCAAGTTTGGAAAAAAGGGGGGCGTAAGCGGGAAGGGAATGAGGGGGTAAGCTCCCACGCGCGCACGCTTGATTGCCCGCTCATGCGAGCAGCGCCGTGCGCAGCGTTCGGCCGAAAAAAGGCAAGAGGCAGTCCCTGCGCTGCAGCGGCGAGCACATAACTGTATAACATGTATAACGCGTGGGGAGACCTATCAGTTTCACATCACACTCTGTGAAGTTTTGTTCGTTGCTCCGATGCCGTCGTAAAACAAGCACGGGGGCCTGGGGTACCGTCTTAATCCCGTTTTTAGCGTCGAACGCATTGGAGACCCATGCCAAGAAACACCCTCCTTGCCTCCAGGGTGCCCTGGACTTCTGGGGCTTCGATGATTTTGCCACGGAAAGCGTGACGTTCCCACGCCAAAAATCAATGGACGTCCTGGGGTCTCAGGGTTGGGTTTCTTGCGGAAGGTTTCTTGTGGATCGGCCTACAGTTTAGCGTCGATTAGCCTCTGGGAGTCGATGCAGCATCGCCGATTCAGCGTGGTTTTAGCGTCGCCCTGCGTCGATTTAGCGCCGATCAGCGTTGACCCGCGTCGATTCGCACGAGCCGACAAGGTGGTATGGGAGGCTCTCGCGAGTTGCCACCGAAGGGCCCACTGTTATCGGGCAGCTTGGGACCAAGGTCGGGATATTGCCGGGGCGTCGCTGGGCACTGTCGCTCGGAGAAGGAAGAGGTACCCATACCGCTAGCCCTCGGTCGTTTTCCCCTTGTTGGGCCTCTTGGGAGGCCCTCGTCGCCACGGCTGGATTCGCTTCGAAGTCTTTGTCAAAACGCACCCCGGGAGAGGTCCGGGGAGTAGCGGTATCGGTACCTTTCGGTTTCCCCAGTCGCAGCTCAGTGACACTGGGGCTTGGCGGAGGCATCATTGGGGCAGTCCTTGGGGGGGCGGAAGGGGGGTGGCATTCATTCGGGGAGCAGCGGGCCCACCGAGCAATCGAACCCCGCCCCCCCCCGCCCCCATTTCGAGTAGATTCCAAGGCACCCCGCACCGCGGAGGGGATGGCCTGGCACCCAGGATATGGGGCGCATGGCAGCCTGTCCACTGGCGGCTGCCAGCGTCGTCGGCGAAGTCCGAACCTTATCTTCGCCGATCGACGGCTCAGGTAACTCGATGGGCGGCGGGGGTGGGGTTCGGAATCCGTCGAACAAGTAGCGGAATCCGAACCCTACCCCCGCGCCTCCCCCATCGATTCAAGAGAATCGATTGTTAGTTGGGGTCGGGTTCGGATGTTGCCGCCTACAGCCTACAGCGCAAACTGGCGCCTAAGAGTTTTGCGCGGTGGCTCCGAAAAACGCTTGTGAACGCCTGCAGGCTTCTGTAGGATTGCATGTGCTGATTTCTGTTCGGCGGCACCGCAGTGGGCATTCATTCGTGGGCAAAGTGATGGGAACCAGCCAGGATTTGCCACTGCAGGGCCTCTTTCTGGCGTTGTGATATTGCCTGCGTCGGAAAGGATGTGGTTCGCAGGGTCGCTGGCCAACGTGCCCGCTAGTGGAGAGGAGAGAGGAGAGGGGCGGGAGGAGGAGGAGGAGGAGGAGGAGGAGGCAGCCCTGCTGGATAGGTAAGGTGAACCGTTGAGCTTCGAGAGGGTACGGTTTTACAAAAAGGGCCAGGGCCTCGTGAGCTGGGGCCCCGCGCCTCGAACGAGGGTTTGTCGAAGGGCCCGAATCCTGAGTGGCTGTCGTGCGAGCTGTCCCACCTTGATCGATCTCCGTTCCTCCTGATCCCCCTTTTCCGCCTTCTCCTCCTCCTTCTCCTCCTCCTCCTCATCCTCCTCCTCCTTCCCCCCCCCCCCGGACCGAGGGAGAACGAGGGAGAACGAGGGAGAGAACGAGACGAGCAGGACGGCACGAGGGCCACTGCCCCTGTTCCAAGGGCCCAGCGAAGCGTGCGAGCCGTTCCACCTTGATCGATCTCCGTTCTCGGAGGTCCACTGAGGCCGTCGGCCCCCCGTTCCGTATGGATTTCGCACTGGGGGTTGTTTCCTGTGCGCGCCAAGGCTCAGCGTGAGTCCTTGGAGGGTGTTACCTTCGGATCGGCGTCGCCACCTTCAAGGGCTGGCGCTTCCAGCGGGGGCTCTGGGGATCACCGAGGATTCCAGGGTACAGGATACAGCTACCACCATCGTCCGCGTACGCACAGCGCTGCAGCAGCACATCTGACTGTTCCAATGCGCCGGTCCACAGCCCGGCAGCCCCGCAGGGGGGCCCGCGCACTCCTCCCCTGCGAGGAGACGCGCAGCAGACGTTCCTTTGGGGCCGATGCGCAGGAAGACTGCGCACGACAGGGTTCCACTGTGTCCACCTAGGCGTCCCGGGTGGGGTCAGAGTGACTGGTGTCGGGGGATCGCGCCGCATCGACGATGCACCGGCGAGTCTTCTCGAGTCGGAGCCTGCTTTTCCGCACGCCGATGGCGCCGATGCATCGCCGCCGTCGCCGATGCGTCGCCGATGTGTCGGGGATGCGGCGCGATTCTCTGACCCCATCTACTCGGACCCCATGTAGGAGGCCTCTAGTCTCCAGTCCAACTTCTTGCTGAACTCGTCATCTCAAGCTGGACGTGTCCCTCTTCAGGAGGAGTTTTCGAGAGCGGTGAAAAAATAGTCTGGGACGACGTGTCGTGTTTTCACTGTTTGTTTGCGTTTCTTCCAAAATCCGCCTGTATGGGGGACATGCCCGACCTAATCGTCATCCTCGTCTTCCTTTCCTCGGGCTCATCGTTGCCCCCCCCCCCCCTGGCCTTCCTGCCGCCCAGCACCTGCGCCTCTTGCGCGGCAGGAGCAGGAGGAAGTTCGGGCCGGACGGAAGGGGGGGATTGGGAAAGGGGGGGTTACGAAATCTGCTGCGCGCAGCTGGTTTCGGCCTCACCGAGGGGCCCATTCCTCGATACATAGCCGCCTCCGGCGCCAAGAGGCGCCGGGAAAATCAGCTACGCGAGCTGATTCTCAAACTCCCCCTTTGCTATCCCCCCTTTCGCCCGACCCGAGAAGTGGAGGTAGGGGGAATAGGGTGGTAAACGTTGTGGGCGTTACAAGGCGTTACAAATGCTTGAATGGCATAGCATGGCATAGAATAGCATAGCATGGCATAGCATAGCATAGCAGAGCGAGAACAGGCTAGTCTTTGGCGATCCGAAGGCGAATTCGAAGAGGCGAATCCGAGGCGACTCGAAGAAGACGAGCCACTGCCGGAACACGAACTTTCGGAGCTCCGCGCGGATTGCTCGGACCTGCGCCGGGCCCTCCTGGCGGCGCCTCGTGCGCCGCCGCCGGCCCGCTCCGCGTGCCAGCCAGTGGGCGTCCACCGCCCCTGCAGGGAGCCCGCGCGGCTCTCCGAGAGGTTGTGCGCGCGTCGTCGTTTTCTCATTCCTTGTCTTGCCGATCGGCGCGGGCCCTCGCACCCCCTCCCCCCCCCCTGGAGTGATCGGTGCGGGCCCTCGCACCCCCTCCTCCCCCCCCCCCCGCCATGGAGTAGATATTGCCTGTTTTTGGCGCCGGTTTCGCGCAGCGGAGGCTCCCCCAGAATGGACGCACGGTCGCAAACAGTGGCAATCAGCAGAGGCCCGGAGCCAGAAGCCCCCCCTTCCCCCCCCCCCTTCCGCCCAATGTCGAACCGCCGAATAAGAAAGCGTTCCCTGTGCATGATGCTGTTCTCTAGAGATAAAGGTGTGCCGATTGGCACGGGGCGCCCCTGCACGTTTTTACGCGGATGTCTTTGTTTGTGGCTGCTCGGGAGGTTGGCCATGCGTCGAATCCCCCAACGTGCCTACACGAGAAATGGTTCGTGCGAGGTTGGCTCATCACTTTCTCAGGGCGGGTCCGGAAAGTCCACCCAGATCTCTCAGGCCAATTTTTGTTGAGTCGCGCCTCTGGCTGCACCGGCAATCGCACCAGGCGGCGGTAAGAACGACATCCCCAATCGCTTGAAGTCGAAGTTCCTGTGCGCCGCCCTCAGCATGTCAGCGCTCATCCCCCGAGCCCCCGTATTGGTGGGCCTCTTTGGTGTGCAGCAGCGCTTGCAGTGGCAATCTGAGGTGCTCCAACCTGTCCCTTCGACCCGATCCATCCATCCTTACACGTTCTCCGCGTGCCCGCAGCCCAAGTTGCTGAATGAAAGCTACCTTCGGAAGCAACGCTGCTCAACCTGAGCTTTGATAGGGAGCATCTGTGATGTCTGCTTCTTGTCAGGATATAGCGTAAGTTAATGCACTTGGAACTCTTGATACGTCGCGTACACCCACCATCCCATCCAGAAACGATCCCCAGACAATCTGACTGGATCAGGGAACTGCAGTCGTCGTCCTCCTCGCCTTAGCCGTCGGGAATGAGGAGGAGCAGGCGAGAATGAGGGTGAAGATGAGGATGACGATGACGAAATGGGGAGTGAGGAGGATGAGAAGGAACACGCGAGGATCCTACTGGAGGTGAGGATGAGGCTGGAGAAATGGAGAAGTCGAAGGAGCAGCAGCAGCAGCAGCGGCAGCAGGCGAGGATACCTTCGCGAGCCTTGGAGGCCTCTCGGGACCATTTTGGAGCTCCCTGCGGGCACTGATGGGAGCCCTCGTGACCTTGATAGGTCTCTTGGAGCTCCTGGGGGGGGGGCCTCTTGGTGCCATGCTGGAGGCCTCGGATCGACGGACAGCGCTGCCCCCCTCTTGAGCCCGACACGCCTCGTGGGGCCCTCCTGGGGCCCTCTCGGGGGGCCAAGAGAGCCCCGTGAGACCTCGGGGCCGCCCCCCGGTCCAGCCCCAGGGGGGGGCAGGGGGAGGGCTCAAATTCCCATAAGCGCACGCCGCAAGCTGTGCCCCGCCCGCTCTCCCATCACATCGGGAACACTCCAGAGAATCGACACGGCCGATGCCAAGCATGGGTTCCTTCGATTGTGGTGGAGAGGTGGTGCCATTGCCATCCCCCCAAAGTCTCTTCTGAGAGGAGTGGGGATGGGGCGGGCGCATCTCCTCATCAGGCTTGCTCCTTCCGATGCGTGTTCGTCGTCGTCCAGCGGATGGCGGCTTGCCTCTCTGGTGGGACCCATGCTGCCGCTCCTTCGGCAGCTCGCATTGGCGGCACCCCTTTCAGTACACCTCGGGGCGATGATCCTCTACGCCCGAGGCCTCCCCCCGCGTTCCACCGCGCAAGTCCCCTGCTCATCGGGGAGCCAGCCTGACAGCGAAGTGTGTGCTTCATGGAGACCCTGCGTGGCGTCAGGCGGTTGCCCCAGCACTTCAGTGGTCGAACAGCCTCTGGCAGAGCCTCACGGAGCCCACGGTGTGCCACTTCTCTTTTCGGGATCACATTCGGATATGGCGTACAATATCGAGTTCCTCTCCTGAGTTAGGCCCCACCGTCTGGCGTAAGTCTAAAGGTCCAGTGCATAGAATGCTCCTCTCCCTCCATCGTATTGGGTGGCGTGCAGATAACTTTGCGCTGTGGAGAGATGACCGCGATCGCGTGGTTGATTTAATGTACACCTCCCCAGCTTTAGTGGCCAAGCAGCTCGAGGCTGGTGTGCAGAGAGCCCTTGAGCGCAAGATGGCCACTGATTTAGATGATTTCAATGATGCCCGAGTCTGCCCAGACCCTGTCGCTAAGCTTTTCCGTTCACGTAAGACCACGGCCAGACAAAAATATTGGCTCTCGGCAGTGTTTTCAGGTGCCTGCTGGACGGGAGATCGGTTGAGAGCGTGCGGGTATGACCACGGGGGGGATTGTCCTTTGTGCGGGGAACCCGACTCCCTGTTCCATCGGCAATGGCTCTGTCCGAGTGTTGCCGAACAGAGGCTCGAGCATGTCAGTCAGGAGTTGATTGATCAGGTGAAAGCTGCCGAGCCCCAGGAACTTTTGTTTTGGTCGAGGCTCATTGTGCCTCAGCCTGTGGTCCCTGGTCCGTCCTGGAACCTCGACCCGATTTTTCAGGATTCCGAGGGCCAGGAAATCAGTTTTGAAGATTTTCTTGAGCTGTCCCGTGGGTGTGAGCCCGTGGTCGATGGCTCAGCAACTCAGCAGGTTTTTAAGGAGCTCCAACGCGCGGCGTTCGGGGCTGTGTTCCTGGCACCTGGCCCCGAATACAAGATTCAGGCACGGATGATGGGCACAGTATGGCCCACCTTATTCCAGACTCCGCAGTCGGCGGAGCACCTTGGTATGGCTACGCTTAGCTGTGTCATAGATGACCCTGCCACCCCTCACAGCGACTGCTCTGGTGCCGTTAATCTGCACAATGCTAGTCGTCGTGAACAGCTGTGCCCAAAGCAGATGTTTGCTGGCCTTAGGAGGCTCGCCCTGGAACACGACCCTCAGGGCTTTCTGGGACCTGCCTCCTACACCCCTGCCCACAGGTCTGAGGAGGTGATTTTGGCTTTACCGATTTTGGAGCGTCGCATTGCCCTGGGAAATGCTGATGCTGATAGGTTAGCCAAGCACGCACTGACACTTCACCCAGGGGCCCCGACAGAAGACCTCGAGGCCCTTGATGTGTGCGTGAAGCGTGTGAAAGATTTAGTTCGAATGTTTGATGCTGTGCTCTCCTGCTACCCCAAGATGGAGTTCCGTCGCGTTGCCAGAGGCCTTCGGACGACGGTTTTCAGAGATCCGAGTTGGCACGACTGGCGCGAGATTGACCCTGGGGCAGCTTGGAGGTGCACGAAGTGTTTCTCGATCACCTGGGATCAGGATAGATCGATGGTAGGGTGCAAAGGGGTCCCCACAGCCCTTCGGAATCTGAAGGATGCCGAGGAACGGGGGCACCTCCTAGCTTGTGCGATGATTGACAATGAGGCCCAGGAACCTTTTTAGTGTTTTGCTATAGGTGTGGTGCCTACTCTTCGAAAAGGTGTGTTTTGCTGGCTGGGCGGTGTCTTGGGAAGCTGGGTAAGAGATCCCAGACCCTCTTCCGAGTCAAGCAGGGGCTCCATCCTCACTTTTACAATGATAATCGTGTCACGGACCCTTGCCGTCGCTCTGCCGAGGCTGTCCTTGAGGCCGCAACCACACAAGGTGGTAAACCGACGGCCTCCCGCCTGCGCCTCGTGTCAACTCCTGGCATGGAGGCTCTGGCGGCCCGCGTTCGCGCGCGGGAAGAAGCTGCAGCTGCCTTCCGTCGATCGGGTTAGGCAGGATTGCTCTGTTCTGCCTCGAGGGCCTCCGAGGAAAACCGCCGTCCTCTTGTTCCACAGTGGAAGCCCATGCAAGAAACACCCGGCTTGCCTTCAGGGTGCCCTGGGTCTCTTGGGCTTCGATGGCTTTGCTATGGAGAGCGTGACGTTCCCACACCAAACATCGAGGGACGTCCTAGGGTCTCAGGGTTGGGTTTCTCGTGGAAGGCTTCTTGTGATCGAGCTCCTGCTGCAGTTGGCTTGTGTGCCTTAGTAGTCCCAGCGCGGCCCGCGGGCTTTCCGAACGCGTTGGCGTCCGCCCTCGCTGCTGACTAACATGTTCGTCGTCGTCGTCGCTGCTTACCAACATGTTCGTCGTCGTCGCTCTTCCTGTGCACCCTTCCGCCACCCTGCGCCGTGCCTGCGGCGCTGTAGGGGGCGAGGTGCTCGTTGCCCTGGACAGGCAGCCAGGCAGAAAGAGACAGGGAGAGAGAGAGAGAGAGAGAGGGAGAGATCGACAGGCATACATCTATACACACATATAGTACACATATATAGATATGTTGTACAGAGGGAGAGGAAGACATACCGACGGACATGTACACATACACACATAGACAATGTATATATTTGAACGGGCAAAGAGAGAGAGAGAGAGAGAGAGAGAGAGAGAGATAGAGAGGGTGATGCATTGTCCGTGCAGTCTTCCGCGATGGATGCAGGCAGGGGGTTTCGCCACGCGCCCATTTCAAGCGCTGACCGAGGCGGCCCTGTGGCCCTGTCTGCTTCCCGATGCCGTAAAATACACCCTCCTCCTCCTCCTCCTCCTCCTCCTGCTCCTCCTCCTCCAGGACGAGGAAGCTCGAACCCTCCTGGCCCAGGTGCAGCGGTGCGCGCAGGTGTAAACCTGCAGGTGTCCTCCCCCCGCCCCCCACCCTCTCCAGGGCTCGTGTCGGCTCCTCCGATTCGGTTCGACTCGATTTCGATGGCTTCCGATTCCGATACGATTCGACTTCGGATTCCGATTTGGATTCCGATTCTTTAATGGAAACCTGCTAGCCTGTCGATTTCCTCTGATTCGACTTCTCCCGACTCGGCTGCCGATTTCCGCCGATCCGATTCATTTCGATCGCCGATCCTACTTATCGATTCGATTCTGGGCTCTCCTGCGCCAAGAAGACTCGACAACGGTGTCAAACTGAGTGCATCGTTGAAGCTGTGTCTACGTGTGGGGTTGGGTAGGGGGGGGGCGGCGTGGTTTGGGTGGGGGTTTCTGTATGGGTTGGACTTGTCTGATGGGTTGGGCCCAAAAGGTTGTACTCGAGGGGCTTGGAGCTCGGGGAGTCGTATGAGGGTTGGGCTCAGGCATTTTACGTCGGATATACGGGGTTGGGTAGAAGGGGGCGGGGGATCTTCGGCAGAGGGCGTGTGGCAAGAAATTGTCAGAATGCGTCGGGAAAGACAGGCTGTGCAGCAATAGTTTGGCACACAGTCGCCGAGAAGGGCTTACTTAGGCGCATTGGGTTCGGACTAGTGTTGGAGAGGACTTTCATCGAACACTTGCTTCTGCATAAGAAGACGCATTGCATATATACATATATATAAATATCCGTCATGCTGTCACGCTAATAGTTGTGACCGGCAATGTGGATGATGTGTGTCCTTGGCATTGGTTTGAGACCGAGGCTTCAACATGGTGTTGCCGTCGACCATCTCTGTGGACAGCATATTCGGTTCCATCATGAAGGCACGGATCCGTCCAATCTAGCATGCACCCCGTACCGTTCTGGTCGCCCACCATCTGATTCAAGACGTGTGCGCCACACCAGCTGGATGCACTGTTTCATGACAGTCTCAGCACCCAAGACATCAGTCGCAGGGGACATCGTTTGGACGTTTATCTTTGGTGTGCAAAGCACATGCACGCATTCTGCATGCTACCATATACGCGCACCCCAGTGGCACTCGGCACACCCCGCCGACGCGCCCCCTTGCGGGCCTCTTGGGGGTCTCTTGGAAGGTTTCTTTGAGGCCTCCTGGGGCTGGGAGCTTTCCTGGGGCCTGTCGAGGGCTGAGAAGCTTTCTAAGCCTCCTCCGAGGCCCCAGAGGATTCCTCAGAAGGCTGAATCACCACAGGAGAAGGAACCACTGCCACCAGCTAGGGCGGCTGAGCGCTCCCCCTGCCCGAGCTGGTGGCACCCCGTTCTGGTCGCGCCTCCAGAGAGTGCCCGGAACGGAGTGCCACCAGCTCGCTCGGGGGAGGGGGCCTGGAGTTCTGGTCTTGGCATCGCTCGGACGTGTGCATTTTTCCTTCGTCGAGGACCATCGAGGAGCATCCTTGATCATTTGGCCAACCAAAAAACCACGCACGAAACCAACAAAAAAAAACAGGGAATGGACGCCCGAGCGATGGCCAGTGGTGGTAGTGTCTCTTTCTTGCTCTCACGACTGACGGGCTTCTGAGGAGCCTCGGCGCCTTCTGAGAAGGTCTGCCCCCTCTCACTTCCCCCTCGGCGCGCCTCCGATTGGTGCCTCCTGGTGGCATTATGATGTCCCCCTGGTGTCCAGGGCCATCCTGGGCCTGAGAATTCCAACTGAAAGTTGGGAGTCTCCCGATGACGCCGCTGTTGGAAGACTTCTTGGGAGCCTTGTGGGCCCTCTGGGCCGCTGTTGGGTAGGCTCTCTTGGGGGAGTAAGCTTTGAACTCAACGAAGAACAAAGAGCGGGTTATAGCAGATTCATAGAAACTAGTTCGGTTGTTCAATTCCCGGATAGTTCTCTGAGAGCTAAGAGGGTTTCGGATTAAGAAGCCGGAGCCGCAGGGTAGCACAAGAGATCGTTCTGGCTTCCGTTTTCCAGCGTCGAAGCGACTTGTCCAAGCTCGCAGCGTGTCCCAGGAGGTTTTTTCTAAACGTTTCCCCATACGCGTGCCCGGAAGCTCTCCAGAAGGTCCTTCGGAAGTTCTCACCAGGTCCTTCCAGAGTTCTTCGAAACGCCTTTCCACGCCTTTCTGGCGCCCTGCTATCCGGGTTTGGGACCCCTCATGTGATGGTCGCTTTTCGGAGCTGTCCCCAAGGCCTTGAAGACGGCCCGACGATCGCCCAAGAGAGTCCCAGGTTAGTCCTTTGAAGCGGTGTAGTAACAGATGCGATTTCAGCGACGTTTGGAAGGTTTGTCTGTCAGTATTTGGGCCGGTTTGGGCGGGTTTGGCTCTCTGGAGGGCCACGAGGGAAACACCGTGAGCGCCTTGGCGGCCTGTGCCATTACTAATCTTAAAACCCCGTTGATTCCTCACATCAGTACGATGATCCTCTCAACTAATCACGTGCTGTATGCATGGTGACGGATGACGGGAATCGCGCTTAGCTTCGAACAGTCGCGCGATGGACATCGCTCACTGACCTGGAGGGAAACACTCATCAACCAGGGAGGTCCAGGAGGGGAACGGCTCGGAGTCGTTCCTGAAGTCGCACGTGGCTGATGACGGGACGCGGGCTCGGGCTTGAACCTTCGCGCGGTGGATCTCGCCTCTCGGTCTGCAGGGAGATGTTCATCAGTTGTGGAGGTCCGGGAGGGGAAAGGCTCGGGACCGCGCTTGAGGCCGCACGTGGCGGACGACGATGGTCGACCAAAGAGCACACGACACCACCCCATCTACGGCCCGCCTCCTCCTCCTCCTCCTCCTCCTCCTCCTCCTCCTCCTCCTCCTCCTCCTCCCCCCCTATCGGGGGCCGTAGCGCATATCACGCGAAAACACACGCCAGATGTATTGGTATTCGCTAGGCCCCGTGGGGCCGTAGGTGGGGTGGCGTCGTTCGTTTTCTGGACCATGTGCAATAGTCGCGCGATGGACGTCGCCCAAGGACCCGGAGGGAAGTATTCATCAACCGGGGAGTTCCAGGAGGAGAGTGATTCGGGATTCTTTGCACATATTCGGAGAATGGGCGTTTCGCTTGAGGCAGTCTCACAAGACGCAGACATCAGAGGATATCGCTGACGACTGTATATATCAGAATGAGGTTCTCGTTGAAGGCATCTTCAGAAAATAGAGATACTGAAATCGGTCGCGATTGTATCTTCGAAGTGGGTCTCTTGTCCGAGATCTCTTGTCCGATACCTCCTCGAATCCATTGGATGTTAGATGAGACGCTTTATAATGTTATCTGTTAGCTTTCCTGAAGGATCCCGCAGACGGCCGAAGGAGTACAATCACTGAACTGTTGAATGTGTTTGAGCACATCTGTTTAAACGCAAACGTTTCGCTAGAGGAATCTTGAAATACCGATTTCGGACGGGCAATCGAACATCTAAACATGTATGGAAACCACTGAATTCCAATGGTTCGCGGGTGTTCGAAAAGCTCCACATGAGCACAACAGCAACATACCAGGTGTTTCAACACGTTCGTTTTCGGTAGGAGGTCCGAGTGGAAGCAGCTTCTCAACATCGGTCTCGGTTGAGGAACGGCTTGTCTACCCTTTTATCTTCATGAGCCCCGAATCTGCTTTCGTAACGCAGTTGGGGACATATGGTTTGCACTTGCCTGCCGAGTTTCATCATCTACCTCCTCCTTTCTTGTATGTTCTCCTCGTCCACTCATCCTCTCTCGCCGTTGTCGGCCACAGATGGATCTCCCCTTGGGGCATCAGGAGATTTCTCAAGATATTCCAGAGGCGGCTTGGCAGTCTGTTGGATGTACGATTCGTGCGTCCAGACTTGTTCTCCCTCCCTTGCCCACCCCTCCCTCCCCCCGCCCCCCCCCCGCCACGGGGCGTCTGTCTGCGTGGTGGAAACGTGTACCCATACTTGTTCCCTTGTGGTCGTCCGGGGAGTGACTGTCCATAGCTGCCTCCTGTGGACATTCTGGGAGCTAGCCCACATGGCACGTGATCTTGAACGAAGGATTGATTGCAAAAAAAACCAGGACTGCAACGAAGGATTGCAATCCTTTTTGCAATCCTTTTTGCAATCCTTCGGTTTTTTGCAATCAATCCAGGGTTTGTTTGCAATCCTTTTTGCAATCCTTCGGTTTTTTTGCAATCCTTCGTTGCCGCACTCTTTTGCACAGTCTCTGCAAGCTCACGCGCTTGCCGCTCGTGCCAAGCGAGGTCCTCACCATACCCCCCCCCCTTCGTGGGGATCTCCCATTGAGCGCCGCCTGGATCCTCACAACACGGATGTGTAGGACGTTGCATGGTTACTTCGCTTCTAAGACATGAGGTCTATGCTGTGGACATCCTCAGACGACGGAGCTGCTTAGATCGCCGGCGGGGTCTCACCTGAGACACCCTCAAACAGTATACAGTCGATAGGCTGAAACACGTAAGGACCGCTTTGGGTTCGGAAGGGGCTCGTTCTTCCTCAGGTCATTCCGTGATTGTTCCCTTGGTTCCTTTCGTGCACCTAGGCGCCTCTGGTGCCAGAACGGGGCTTCGTTCCTTATTTGGCCCGCCTCCTGGCAGTGCAATGACTGTACGGCATGAAAGGTATTTTCCAATAGTTCATTGAAGCTTCCCTGGAGGACCACACAAACGGCCCAAGAAGCAGCATCAGTCAACAGTCACTGGTCGTTCAACACGTTCCATGACAAGCAGGCGACTCGCTCACAGCAACCCCAAACATTTGATGCGGACTTGCATTCGAAAACATGAGAAACAAATGACACCGCACTGGTTCTCAATCCTGTGGTGGTTCGCTTGTGCTCGAGAGTCTCGAAATCAGATAACTAACTCAACCATCCGCGTTTCAACGCTTCAGTCTTCGGTCGGAGGTCTGTCAAAGGCAACTGTTCAAAACCAGTTTCGGTTGAGTAGATAGGTATCGTCCTTCTGATCCGTATGATTACCCCGTCTACTCAGCGCAGTTCGAGACATTCGGGCTGCATTGGCTTGGTAAGATTTCTCCTCCACTTCATCTTGTCTTGCATTTTCGCCTCACTTCTCTTCTCCTCCACTCCTTTTCCGCTCGCCGCTGTCGGCCGTAGCTGGAGCTCCACTTCTCTTGGAGTACCAGAACACGGTTCGAGAAGCAGCTTGCCAGTCCTTTTGCGGTACGACCCGTGTGTTCACCACCCACCACACCACCCAAACCAAACCCGAAGGCCCCAATTTGTCCTCCATTCCCTCTGGGGGGGAGCGTCGGGGAACATTGGAAAAGCACATGTGAACCCCGTACCCCCTCTAACCCGAAATCCGGGTCTTCGGGTTAGTTTGCGGTGGCCTGGCAGGTAGTCAGTGTGGATAGTCGTTCTTTTGTGGTCGTTCGCTCACGGTGCCGTCCTGAGCCTCTTCTCTCCCCCTCTTTTTGGGCCTTCTTGGGCGATCTTGGGACATTGTCTGAGGTCTCGGAGACCCCTCGGAGACGAGCGGGCGACAAGGAACAGATCATTGATCATTGGCCTGTTTTTTTGCACGCTTTTGGTCTACAGTCGGACCGAGGTATAAGGGCGAGGTCGGTTCGGGGAGGGTACCCGAAATTTTCTTCGTGCTTGTAGGATGTTCTTGTGCGCTCTGGGAAGGGTACCCTTGGATGTTCTGTGCGTTTTGGCCGGCGCAGGGTCTCGTAGGCTCGACTGTATCAACGGGCTGTTTTGTTCTGTGGCCTTTTGGAGGCATGCTGGATGACATCTGGAACCATCCTGGACCATCTTGCGCTGGTTCGTGGGTCATCTTGGGCTGCCTGAGGCCATCTTGGAGCCATCTTGGGCCACAGGCCTCCCAAGATGCCCCTCGATGTGCGAAACTCCTT